CTCGTTCTGGTGGCCGGACATGATCAAGGATTGCGAGCGTTACGTCCAGACCTGTCCCACCTGTCAAAGGAACAAGCCCTCCAGGAGCAGGGCATGGGGATTGTTACGTCCATTGCCTATACCCAAGCGGGCCTGGCAAATGATAGCCATGGATTTTGTGGTCGAACTCCCACCATCCCAAGGCTACACAGCAATAATGGTGATATTCGACCGCTTCTCAAAGATGGCACATTTCGTACCCCTGGAAAAGACCCCATCGGCACCAGAAACGGCACGGATCTTCATTAAGGAAGTAGTGAGGCTTCATGGGGTTCCCGAAGATATAGTGTCAGATCGGGGAGTCCAATTCACCTCCAGGTTCTGGAATGCCTTATGTAAAGCGCTGGGAATCAAGCTGTCGCTTTCATCTGCCTACCATCCTCAGACCAACGGCCAAACCGAGAGGACCAACCAAACGCTAGAACAGTACTTACGATGCTACACATCCTACCTTCAGGATGACTGGCTGACGTTGTTGCCTTCCGCAGAATTCTCGTACAACAACTCGAATCACTCAGCTACGGGTCAATCCCCGTTCTTTTTCAATTACGGGTATCATCCCACATTCCTCCCTGATCTGATGCCTGAAAATCCGGTACCTGCGTCTCAAGACATCTTGAACTTCTTTTCTGTCAATAACAAAACGATTCAGGAAGCCATCGCTAAAGCCCAAGAGGACAGTAAAAGGGTGTTCGACAGGAAAAGAAGAGGAGAGTTACTGCTTCAACCAGGGGATCAGGTTTGGCTGGCAACGACCAACTTGAAGATGCTGTGTCCTTCGAGGAAGATGGGACCCAAGTACATTGGCCCATTTCCGGTAAAACGAGTAGTCAACGAGGTGGCCTACGAACTCGAGCTTCCGCGAACCTTCAAGATGCATCCTGTGTTCCATGTGTCTCTCCTGAAGCCATCCAGACCAGATCCCTTCCCAGACCGTGAATCCAGACCTCCCGAGGCAGTCACCATAGGTGACCAGGAGGAATATGAAGTGGAGACTATCCTCAGTTGCCGAAAGAGAGGGGGGGCCAGACACAGTTCCTGATAAAATGGAAGGGTTATGGCCCTGAGGAGAACTCATGGGAACCCGCCCAGAACATTCACGCACCCAGCTCATCCGGGAGTTTTTTCGTAGTCACCGCGGTGGAGAGATCAGTGTGGGGCTCCCGGAGGGTGCCCATTGAGGGGGGGGGGCAATGTCAGGGATCGCGGCTCCGGAATCAGGGATCGCGGCGTCTTCCCCCGCGCATGCGCACTGGCGGCAGATCACGCCGGGACACAGGCACTAGGTCCCGGCGAGCCGCGGCTGACAGGACGCCGCTCTTGCGCAGTAGGAGCCGCGGGCGCGCTTTAGGCGTCCAATGACAGCCGGTGGGCGCGTCCTAGCCGGCCAATGACAGTGCAGGGCGCACTATTTAAAGATGCCCTGCACTGTCACAGATTGCCGCAAGGTCTATCTGTGATCCTGAGTTCCTGTACCCGTTCTAGTGACCCTGATTGACCCTGACTACGCTGCCTTCTCCTGTGATTGACCCGGATTGCCCTGACTATGCTTCCTTCTCCTGTGATTGACCCGGATTGCCCTGCTACTCTGCCTTCTCCTATTCTGACCCCTGGCTTGCCTGACCATTCTACGGACTGACTACCCTGCTGATCCTGCGTGTGACCTGACTACTCTTTGCCCGCCGATTCGGTACCCCGCTGACCCCCACGGGACCACGATCCGTTACCACCCTGCTATGGCCGCCACCCTCTTCACATCTGGCTCTCCCAGTACCTGCATACGTCCCCGGAGGCTTCCTTAGCCACTGGTGGGCCTGCTCAGAGGTCGTGACCTGGCCCGGGACTGTTACAAGTCCATCCCCACCATCAGGGCCCTGGTGAAAGCACAGCCCGGGCTTAGACCCCACGCTCTGGGTAGGTCCGTCAGTTGGCAGCCTGAGGCACCACCTGGCGGATCATAACACACTTACTCTCCACCAGTTGCCCCACCCAACCTTGCTCAGGTCCGCCTCCAACCCAACCCCAGCCCACCCAGCCCCCAGCCCTGCCTCCAACCCACGCCCCCTTAAAGCTTATGAAATGACATTTTTCTTTAGAATAGAGTCCAAAAAATATAAAAAATGTAACACAGCAATGTAAATCCCAGCTACTGTATACATGTCATATCACTATAATGGAGTACAGGAGAGCTGGGATATACATTACTGTATACATGTCATATCACTATAATGGAGTACAGGGGAGCTGGGATATACATTACTGTCTACATGTCATATCACTATAATGGAGTACAGGGGAGCTGGGATATACATTACTGTATACATGTCATATCACTATAATGGAGTACAGGGGAGCTGGGATATACATTACTGTATACATGTCATATCACTATAATGGAGTACAGGGGAGCTGGGATATACATTACTGTATACATGTCATATCACTATAATGGAGTACAGGGGAGCTGGGATATACATACTATATACATGTCATATCACTATAATGGAGTACAGGGGAGCTGGGATATACATTACTGTATACATGTCATATCACTATAATGGAGCACAGGGGAGCTGGGATATAATTACTGTATACATGTCATATCACTATAATGGGGTACAGGGGAGCTGGGATATACATTACTGTGTACATGTCATATCACTATAATGGAGTACAGGGGAGCCGGGATATACATTACTGTATACATGGCATATCACTATAATGGAGTACAGGGGAGCTGGGATATACATTACTGTATACATGTCATATCACTATAATGGAGTACAGGGGAGCTGGGATATACAATACTGTATACATGTCATATCACTATAATGGGGTACAGGGGGAGCCGGGATATACATTACTGTGTACATGTCATATCACTATAATGGAGTACAGGGGAGCCGGATATATACATTACTGTATACATGGCATATCACTATAATGGAGTACATGGGAGCTGGGATATACATTACTGTATACATGTCATATCACTATAATGGAGTACAGGGGAGCACCAGGGGGATATACAATACTGTATACATGTCATATCACTATAATGGAGTACAGGGGAGCTGGGAATATACATTACTGTATACATGTCATATCACTATAATGGAGTACAGGGGAGGGGGATATACATTACTGTATACATGTCATATCACTATAATGGAGTACAGGGGAGCTGGGATATACATTACTGTATACATGTCATATCACTATATGGAGTACAGGGGAGCTGGGATATACATTACTGTATACATGTCATATCACTATAATGGAGTACAGGGGAGGGGGGATATACATTACTGTATACATGTCATATCACTATAATGGGGTACAGGGGAGCTGGGATATACATTACTGTATACATGTCATATCACTATAATGGAGTACAGGGGGCCGGGATATACATTACTGTATACATGTCATATCACTATAATGGATTACAGGGGAGCTGAGATATACATTACTGTATACATGTCATATCACTATAATGGAGTACAGGGGAGCTGGGATATACATTACTGTATACATGTCATATCACTATAATGGAGTACAGGGGAGCCGGGATATACATTACTGTATACACGTCATATCACTATAATGGAGTACAGGGGAGCCGGGATATACATTACTGTATACACGTCATATCACTATAATGGAGTACAGGGGAGTTGGGATATACATTACTGTATACATGTCATATCACTATAATGGAGTACAGGGGAGCCGGGATATACATTACTGTATACATGTCATATCACTATAATGGAGTACAGGGGAGCTGGGATATACATACTGTATACATGTCATATCACTATAATGGAGTACAGGGGAGGGGGATATTACATTACTGTATACATGTCATATCACTATAATGGAGTACAGGGGAGGGGGATATACATTACTGTATACATGTCATATCACTATAATGGGGTACAGGGGAGCTGGGATATACATTACTGTATACATGTCATATCACTATAATGGAGTACAGGGGAGGGGGATATACATTACTGTATACATGTCATATCACTATAATGGAGTACAGGGGAGCTGGGATATACATTACTGTATACATGTCATATCACTATAATGGAGTACAGGGGAGCTGGGATATACATTTACTGTATACATGTCATATCACTATAATGGAGTACAGGGGAGCTGGGATATACATTACTGTATACATGTCATATCACTATAATGGAGTACAGGGGAGCTGGGATATACATTACTGTATACATGTCATATCACTATAATGGAGTACAGGGGAGCTGGGATATACATTACTGTATACATGTCATATCACTATAATGGAGTACAGGGGAGCTGGGATATACATTACTGTATACATGTCATATCACTATAATGGAGTACAGGGAGCTGGGATATACATTACTGTATACATGTCATATCACTATAATGGAGTACAGGGGAGGGGGGATATACATTACTGTATACATGTTATATCACTATAATGGGGTACAGGGGAGCTGGGATATACATTACTGTATACATGTCATATCACTATAATGGAGTACAGGGGAGCTGGGATATACATTACTGTATACATGTCATATCACTATAATGGAGTACAGGGGAGCTGTATCATCATCTGTGCTCGCCGCTAGAAAATTTCTCCTCGCATTTGGCGAGCAGCTTTTTCAAGCCCTGACCTATTATATTTTATTACCATTTTGCTTTGATTTTATTATTAAATATATATTTTTGTACATTGTTGCTTTTTATTTAATTTTCAAATTAGCACAAAGAACTCAGGTTACAAGTTGATTTAGGGAAAATTAGTAGGGAATCTCCTTAATTCCAGATCCCTGTCTGTTTTCATAAATAATATGCTGATTATTTTCTCAGAGATAAAGATCTGACAGCTACTTTAGAATTAACAGCAAGAAGATAAAATTTTCAAAGTATTTGTCTTTCTTATTTTCTGGCAGGCTGAGGGACCAGATCAGTGCTCCATGCCAGAGGACCTGGTAAGTAAACTTTACATCCTCCAAATAAACAAACACTAAACATGTTCTCAGTAGATCTTGGAACATACAGTACATATCGATGTATAATGTGTATTATCAGATGCACCGATGCATAACAATGTATTGGTAGCATAAATTAAAACTAATGGTTTTTGTCTAGTTTGTAGTTTTTTTTAATTTACAAGCGTCAGAGAACTGATATTTTCATTACTTGTATAAAGTTTATAATTTACAGTTAAACAGTTATTGCTGTGTACATGCATGACACTGCTTGCAAAACAGGCTAATTAGAAAGCCCAGACCACCTTACTTCTTTCTGAAATGACAAAGTAAATTTAAAAATTGCTGTAGTCCACAAAGAATATACAGGTACTGGATCTGAAGTGGTTAATAAACTTAGAACATGAGCCAAAAAATGTAAATCTTGTTTATTTGGTTTATGAAACATTCTAAAATGAGATGTTTGGAGAAAACTGGACAATATGCCAGAATAACAATGTACAAATTAACCGCTTCCTGCCCGCAATGTACTGCGGCAGGGAGGCAGCTACAGGCAAAGTGACATACCCATACATCGCTTTGGCTGTACTAACCTCACAACTGCCGTGTCCCAGCAGACACAGTAGAATGAAGGTCCTGGTGAACTGGACCCAGCGATCATGTGATCGCTATGTGATCACAATGTAAGCAAAGCTGTTATAAATCAATCTCATTCATAACAGCTCTGCTACTCTTCCTAGTGAGCTGTGATTGGCCCACAGCTGTCACATGATACATGGGGCCCATCGCAGCACCCTGTACCATGTGACCAGTTCCAGCCAATCACAGATCACTATCCTGAGCTGTCAAAACTTAACTCATTCATGACAGTACATGAATGAGTTAGGTTCGTGACAGAAAGCTTTGTATTGCAGGAGAAATTATCTTTATTTCTCCCGCAAAGCAAAGTAAAACGTGTTACTATGGTAACATTGTACTATTCTGATAAAAGTATTAAAAAAAAAAATAAAATACCATCTTGAGAATTTTTTTAAAAAAACATTTTTTAAGTTTTTTTTTTTTTAAACTACTTGCCAACTGCTTACCCGCATTTTGCGGATGAGCAGCAGCTCTTGGCAAGGCGATGTAATCTTGTGTCACTTCCTATTTTGGGGTGTGAACGCACCTGTGCCCCCAGCTGCCCCCCCCCCCCCCCCACCAGGTCCAGGGAGAGAAGAGAGAACGCAGCACCAAGTAAAAGAACTACATTTTACACACACAGGTTAGATTAGCACATTTAACCCTTTGATCGCCCCGTCACCCAACCAATGCCATTAGTTCAGTGTCAGTATATAGAATTTTTCACTGATCACTGTATTCCTGCCACTAGCGACATCCTTAGATAGTGTGAGGGTCAGTAAGCGCCCCACCCAGCCAGGGTTAACTAGTGTTAGATTGCCCGCACATTATCGCACTCATGCTATAGGTTGCTGATCACTGCCATTACTAGTATTGTGTTTGTACAGATCAAGATATTGATCACCTACAGGACTATACTAGTGTCTCCTTTGTATAGTGTGCCCAAAAATGTATAGTTAGCAGGATCGGCCCCTTTCGCTGTCAGCACTAGCGTTTAGCCCCTCCGCTGTTGTATCACTTGATTGTGGGCCAAAGTAATTCATACGGACAACAATACATCGCCGCCCCACCCAAATTTAGCTCTTGCCAGAAAATTTGCATGGAAACCTATCACGGTTTCTGAATTTAAAACTCTTTTGGGCCTAACCCTCAACATGGGCATTACAAAAAAGACTGAATTGCGGTCATATTGATCCACAGAGCCAATTCATCCTATGCCCATGTTCTCTGCTGTTACATATATGCCCAACATGGACCAGCAATGTACTGGTACGTCGCTGGACTTTGAGTGGTTATACCGGGATGATGCCTACAGCTAGAGGCATCATCCTGGTATTGTTTTTTTTCAGCTGACGGTTAGCTTTCATGTAAAAGCAATCCCTGTGGCCAGGTAGCTGCTGAATTGTTTTTACGAGCAGCTGGAAGGGACATCCCTCCCCTGCTGCCTTCCACAGTTTTTATGGGCTCTCCTGTCCCACAGGGGAATCCGACAATGCAGCTGGCAATTCCGCTGGCTGACCATAGAGCTGGTCAGAGACCAGAATGGCTCCAATCATTCATCTCTATAGTCTAAGAAATTGGAAGCTACGAGCATTTCATCACTTCAGTTTCACAGGATATAAACAGCGCCATTTGTAAATTGGGAAAGCATCTGATCACACCGATCTTGGGGAGATCAGATAATGTAAGGGCAGAGGAGATATCTAGAGTCTGAGACCCCAGATTTCTCTATAAAGAATCTATGACAATGCTCATTGAAGTTATAGGGGATATTTGCATTCCCTGTGATAGCATTAAAAGTGATCAAAAAATGAAAGGAACAGTGTAAAAATAATTAAAAAAATTGAAATAACTAAAAAAAAAAAGCACCCTTTCCGCCCTGCACGTGCACAGCAGCATGCTCAAGCGTTGACCCCATGCCTGTATGTAAACAGCGGCTGCACCATGCATGTGAGGTATCGCCACGAACGACAGATCGAGGGCTGTAGTTTTAGCACTAGACCTCCTGTGTAGATAAAAAAAGGGGGCCTGTAAAGGCTTTTAAAGCATCGCCTATCGATAATAAAAATGTATGTACTTTGTTGCCATTTTAAATCATGTCATGTTTGGTATCTATTTACTCAGCAGAACATCATCTTTTATATTTTATCAAACGATTGTCTTTATTGGTTTATAGCTCAAAAAATAAAAACCGCAGAGGTGATCAAATACCACCAAAAGAAAGCTCTATTGTGTGAAAAAAAGACATAGATTTTGTTTGGGTACAGCATTGTATGACCGCACAATTACCAGTTGAAATAGCGCAAAACAGCAAAAAATGGAAGGAGGGTACATCCTCTGGAGAGCACGTGGTTAAACCAGTTCTGGTGTTGATTTACAACATTTAGAATAACAGAGAAACCATGTTCTAGATTGTTTTTTAAACCCTGCTTTAGAGCTGGTTCACACTAGTGTGATTTCAGGTCCAATTTTGAGTCACACAGAACTGCATGACAATGGAAATCATATTGTTTTTAATGGTTCCCTTTTCACATCAATTCAGCACACCACAAGTGTATTTGTAAAAGGATCCTTTACTACTTTGGTGTGCTTACAGCTTGATTTTGGCCTAAAAGAATACGCAAACCACATCCAAAACGTAACCAAGTAGCAACCAAGTTATATTACATAATCTTACTCAAAATTGGATCAAAATCGGATTGCAGTAGTATGAACCTAACTTAAAGTGTTACTAAACCCAAAACAGTAAAATCAGTCTGTATATGCAGTAAAGCATGCTTGTTATACTCACTGTGGAACCTAAGGGGTTAATCCTTTTCATTGCGTAAAAATACTGTTTGATCCTTACTTCTCTGATCCTCCCCTTCTTCCAGTGGCCTCCTCTTATCTCCTGATAAGACATATTGTGTGGAGACACACTGCACTTGCTCAGTTTGGTGTGTATTGCTAGAGAGGTTTTTTTTTCTTCTTGGGAGAGTGCATGTGATCAGCACTGTCCAGACAGAGGGTCAGGGGTTCTGCATCCCCCTAAAGCAGAAAGAAAACTCCTTCTAAAAGCTTTAACCAGTGCTCTGCTGAACACTGATAGAAATCACAAGACTGCTCTAACTGCTGATGAGAAAAGGTATTTAGCAGTTTATATTTACTAAAATAATTGCATTTACATGCAGTGTGTACTGTGGGAGACCAGATACAGTGAATGCAGGGTCATGGGTTTAGCAACATTCTAAAGAACATATTATTCCAAGTTATATATTGCAGCTTACTAGTCTGTAGATATAGTGGCTGCATTTGTTTTCTTTTTATAAGGCTAAGAACATTTTCAGCAAGCACAGATGTTACCTATTGCTCTGGCCAGAAATGCAGGGTCTTTGCCACTTCCTATGTTATGTAACTAAATGATAACTAAATGTTATCAGCCTTCCAAGCTGTCTTTTGTAAACTACTAATTCCACCACACCCATGTAATAGAGGGTGTGCTAGGTGACAACTATGGCTCCTTCTATAGATCTAGTGGAGTGAGTGTAACTACCCTTGGACAGCAAGTGTATTATTTGCAGTATCACCAGGAGGGAAACAAGGAAACAAAGCCTGAAAAAAAAATCAAATAAACATGTAGGTGCAGCGCTAGAATATCAAGGTTGTCACAATAATGTACAATGCACTGAATGATAATAAATATAGAATATTGAACAAGTCATAAGTGGCAAAGTGCAAATAAAGTGCAAATAATCACAATAAGGTGCTGATAAAGTGATAATGGTGAGCACACAATGGTGCTAATGAATCAATCAATCAATATTGCACAAGTGTCCACAGATAAACGGTGAAGATCCAAATTGGTCTCAAATAAGTGCTCCAAAATTAATCATCCAGGTGGTGTGCTGTGAATGTGTTAGGATTACGCACTCACCAGACGTTCAATCAAAGTACGCATTTGTATGTATAATATCAGCCGGAGGTCCCCTTAAGGATATGTACAGCCAGGTCTTCCCTAGGTCATCTGCCGCCACTCAGCCGTCCTCCAGAATGGGCTCTATGATGGTATTGGCTCTGTGTGCTGTCCAAAGGTTTTCAAGTACTGTTCCAGACGCTCGATCCACTTCTGAGCCTCAGTACAGGCAGCCTCCGGGTGGGAATCCGGGGTGATCTCCTCCAGATCCAGTGCAGGGAAAGATGTGTTCCTTTGCAAACAAAGCTTATGTGCTTGTACCAAACATAGAGTATTCTCTGGTATAGAAGAAAACATAAAAAAAAAAAAGCCCAGTACTTTTTTGCATACTTGTTCTGGGTTAGTGACTCAAAACGTATTCAGGCCAGTTAGTAAGACAACTTTGTATTTATAGAATGAGAAGTCAATAATAGTTGTCTTCATGAAGTAATGCAGCCATCTCAGGAAAGGTTTTCTTTAACTTATAACAGCTAGGAGATATGGAATCCTTTGTGTTTTGGGGAATATTCTAAGGTAGCCACAGGTATCTTTGCATTTCCTGAACTGTGTGAGTGATGTTCTGATTTTATTCGAAATGGATTTACTGCACAATTGTTTAGGTTACTGACCCAAAGTATTAAAGCCAACATATCATTGAGAGCCAGACAACTAATGTTTTCAGAAGGAGAATGCTGCAGCTATTGTAGCCTGCATTTTTCTTTCATAATAGGTTTCCTTAAACCATTTTTTTCATTCTCTGCCATGCTCACATATGCTGTAAGCTGAATGTAAATTTCTTTTTTTTAATTAATTGTCAGAGAGTATCTGAAGTATCAACTCAGCCGTGGTATTCGATGCTCATTCTTCCTCCATTGCTGAAAGATAGTCCAGCAGCTGCATTGTTGGCTGCTTATTACCCTGACTGTGTGGGAATGAGTCCATCATGCACCACCACTAATCGTCTTCATATAGAAGGAAAATTGGAGCAAGGCAGAGGAGTTGGTTCAAACTTACCTGGTGAGTGCTTTATGTCTTATCACTACATGTACCATGTTGATAACAGTTGCTTGATGTTCCCTAAGAGAGAAGATTATTCACTTTTTTATTTATTTTTACAGCTGCAAGAATTAATCCATATTTTCAGCCATTTTACCAGCCCAATGAATGTGGGAAGGCATTATGTGTAAGACCTGATGTAATGGAGCTGGATGAGCTCTATGAGTTTCCAGAATACTCAAGGGATCCCACAATGTATTTGGCTATGAGAAATCTGATTTTGGCCCTTTGGCACATAAACTGTAAGGTGTGTGAAAATGCATTTCTAAAAATGTTCATAATAAATTGGGGTGCAACTGATTTCCTAACTTTCTAGTGTTCTGTTGATTTTACCTATGAATTGATGATGATAGAGAGGAACTGCAGGCAAGAAGGGGCAAAGCTTCTGACAGAACAGTGGGGAAGGGATAGATCCTTTATAGGGGGTTTTATTTGTGGTCCTATGCCTTTCTTTGGGAATTACCCTCACTTCCTATCAGGAAAGGAAATAATAGATCATCTCTTTAATGGTAACACAAATTGCAAATAAAAACCTTATAGACATTCTATCCCTTTTCCATTTTGTGGGGGGAAAGGTTGGAAACCCCTGTGAGGTTATTACTACTGTCTGTGTCTTCCTGTCCCAGAGACAGTCGACTTCCTTAATTCTTGTCTTGCTGTCACAGGGACTGGAAGTGAACGTTCCTCAATGGGATCAAGGACAGCAGTTAGAACTTGAGAGGAGTATGACAATTTCACATATTTATCCAAAAAACGCAATCTTTGTAAATGGCAAAGTGCATAGAAGAGGAGGAGGTACTAGCTGAATGAGGTCTATGGGGGGAATTAACAAAAAGTGTTTGAGACCCTTTGTTGCAACTTTGTGTGAACTGCAGTGCAGCCAATCTACTTTTAAATTTTTCATTTTCTAAGCCATGTGGAATTGTCAGGAAAAGATGCCCCATTTGAGACAGAACTCGTTTCAGACACTTTTTATTAATTCCCACCATGCGTTTCAAGAATACTCAAGGGATTCTACAATGTGTTTGAAAAATAAAAAACTGATTTTGGTCCTTTGACTAAAATGTAAGGCGTGTGTGATGTCCCTGATATTGGCAGGAGACTGTATGAACTGCAGGAGCTGTAATCCCTGGTGAGGCTAAGATGGGGGGGCTTTCAAAAGAAATCACACTGTTAATAACGTACTGTCTGAGGCCCCTTTCAAACAGTGTGGATTTGCTTTGCTCATCAGGGAATCTGCTGGTCCCTTGCTGAGCAGAGTGGAGCGGGCGGATGACAGGTCCATGTCCACTCAGTTTATGAAGAGTGGACACAGACTGAGCCTACTGTGCTCTATGGGTGGTCAGGTGCAAACAAACCGACTACCTCTGATCCGCGTACACATGTTTTTAGCGGACCAGATCAGAGGTAAGCAGGGGTAAACTGAAGTCCGCTTACACCTGCCAGTCCATAGAGATGAATGGATGGTCCAGTCAGGTCCTCCTAAAAAAACTGCCAGGTAGACCTGATCAGAATGGTCGACTGGTCATTCTGTGCTCCTGTGACACATTTTTAGTGGACAGCGGGCTTTAGCCCGGTCCAGCTCTGAAAAGATCCAGATGATGTGGTTGGGATCTACCCAGCAGCCTGGCTTGGTCTTTCAGCGATCCTCCAAGAGCCTGAGCCTGAGCCAGTCCCTGCTGCCCACTCCACAGCCCAGCTTTCCAGTGAGTGCTGGGCTGTGGACAAGTCCATTTACACCTGCCAGTCATAGAGAATATTATTATAATACAGGATTTATATAGTGCCAACAGTTTGCTCATCGTTTTACAATATAAAGGAAGAAATAACAGCAATGATACAGTTCAATACAAGAGGGTTAGGAGGTCCCTGCTCCTTGGAGCTTACAATCTAAGAGAGAGGGGCTGGTGATACAAAAGGTAATAACTGTGGGGGACGAACTGATAGGAGGAATAGAAGATTCCGTTATTAGCTGAAGGCGGGATAGGCTTCCCTGAAGAGATAGGTTTTCAGAGATCGCCTAAAAGTGGGCAGAGTAGGTGATAGTCAGATTAGGGTAGAGAGTTTCAGAGTATGGGGGAGGCTCTGGAGAAGTCCTGGAGATGAGCATGGGAGGAGACAAGGGAGCTAGATAGCAGGAGGTCGTGGGAGGAGCGGAGAAGACAGTTTGGGTGATATTTGGAGACAAGATTGGTGATGCAATTTGGGGCAGTTATAAATGGTTTTATATGTTAATGTTAATGTTTTGAATTTTATTCGTTGGGCAATGGGAAGTCAGTGGAGGGATTGGCAGAGAGGGATGGCAGATATGGAATGGTTAGTAAGGTGGATGAATCTGACAGCAGCATTCATGATAGACTGAAGAGGGGATAGCCTGCGATTAGGTAGGCCAATGAGGAGGGAGTTACAATAGTCAAAACGAGAGATAACAAGGGAGTGAATAAGTTGCTTAGTGGTTTCCGAGGTTAGGTTAGGAACAGGCGTATCTTGGAGATGTTACGGAGGTGAAGTCTACAAGATTTGGACAGTGTTTGGATTTGGGGCTGAAAGGACAGATGGGAGTCTAGGTTTACACCTAGTACCCTGGCCTGAGGGGAGGGACTGATGGTTGTATTATTGATCTTGATGGAGAAGTCAGGGGAGGGGGCATGTGCTGGAGGGAATAGTATGAGCTCCGTTTTTGAAAGATTTAGTTTGAGGAAGGTTAGTAGGTTAGTAATGAGTTAGTAGTTAGTAAAGAGGAGACTGAAGGGGTGAGATAAGGAGTAGAAAGATAGATTTGTGTGTCATCAGCATAGAGATGATACTTAAAGCCATGGGAGTTTATCAGGTGACCAAGGGAGGAGGTGTAGATGGAGAAGAGAAGGGGTGATGATTGGAGATGAATGGATGGTCCAGTCATGTCCTCCTAAAAAACTGACAGGTGGACCTGAACATAATGGTCGTGTGAAAGGGGCCTTAAAGAAGAAGTATGGCCAATGCGATTTGGTTGTACTTCTCCTATGGATCACAGGAGTGCAGTTCATTCTGCACTCCTGTGACACATTTATAGCGGACAGCAGGCTAAAGCCCGCTCTCAGCTGATATCACAGAGCTGGTGCAAGCTCCGAAAAGATCTCGAAGATGTGGTTGGGATCCACCCAGAAGCCTGCACCGACACCTGCCTCAGCCTCTCAGTGATCCTCCGAGAGCCTGAGCCAGCCCCTGCCGCCCCCTCCTCAGCACAGCAGTCCAGTGAATGCTGGAGGGGCAGAGCAGAGAGACGGTGACTGACAGTCACAGCACTCTGCTCAGAGTGGAGGGGGAGAGCTTAGTGGTCAGCAGTGTTTGATTGCTCAGTTCTCACTGCAGAGCCGGTGGGGGACAGGTACAGTATCGAATCAATGCTGCATCTACCTAGGTGAGTATAAATGTGTTTCAGGTACATACTTCTCTTTTAAGCAATCTGAAACTGTAAAAATGAAGGTGCCCGCAGTTGAGCTAAAGGTTAAACAACTGTCTTTTTAACATTTTGCTCTAATACTTTTACATTATGTATTCTAAACCATAGGAGGTACTCACAACACAGACATGTGCTCACCATATAATGGTACGGGGCCTGGTTCGCATCCGTTGTGTACAAGAGTTGGAAAGGATTCTCTACTTCATGATCAGGAAAGGACTGGTTAACACTGGAGTTTTGTCTGTTACACCCAGCCATTATCTTCTTCCAAAGGAATACCACAATGTGAGTAGACAGGGAACATTCTGAAACTTCTGGAATGGGGGGATGACCAGTGTGTTACTTACAAATTTTATTTTTCATTGAGTACATTATTTGAATTCTGACTTCTGTGACATACTGTATGTATTGACTGTTCTGTAGCTGTGTCTCTCCAATATCCACATGATATATAAAAAGCATCCTTACTTTTTCTTAATGTTACAGAAGTCTGTGATTATCATTGGGGCAGGACCAGCAGGACTGGCTGCTGCTCGAGAATTACACAACTTTGGAATCAAGGTATGCAAGGAGACTTTTTATGTCCTGCTATGTTGTTTGTTTCTCTGAAAATTCTATGTTGACAGGAAGACATTCCTAACTTAAAGGGACACTGTCACTACCGATTTGGGGCAAAAGTGACTTTGTGTAAAGCCCCATCCGTAACCTAATACTTAATTTTCCAGGCTCCCCCAACACCCCTTCTTCAGTGGTCATAACTGGAAAATACCTGGTGCTTCTGGGTTTATGTGCAGCCTTGCAGTGAAGTTTGCTAAAGTCCTTGCAATACAAAAAGTGACCTGGAGAGGTTTATTCTTTTCTGCTTGTAATTACCTGCGGCATGTATCCTGTCAATAGCCCCTAAAATAGTCATGTTCAGCTAAAGTGGAAAGTATTTGAACAGAGAAAGGGTAGTCAGAAAACTCCCTTTAATATTGGCCCAATAGTTGCATACATTTAATTAAATTATCATTTTATTTCTGGTGGTTTTATACCTGCATTTTGTGTTTTTTTTAGGTGATGGTCCTAGAAGCGAGAGACAGGATCGGTGGCAGAGTTTGGGATGATAAGTTTTTTAAGGGAGTCACTGTGGGAAAAGGAGCCCAGATTGTGAATGGCTGCATCAACAACCCTATTGCATTAATGTGTGAGCAAGTGGGTTTCTGTTGTCTTTGTGTTTAACATTTAGGATTGTCTTTTTTTAAAGCTAAACTCCAGGCAATCTGCTAAAAACACAGATGGATGATATATAAGAGAACTGTTTTACCTGCCAAGCAATTTGTATTTCTGTTCATTTGCTCCTGTGATTTGCACAGCCTTGGCACACAGCACATCTTTGTCTAGCAGGCCAAGAGACCTGATTTTTCTCTGCTGCAGTTACTATTGTTAACAAGTCTCATTTCTTCTACAGCCTGTGACTGGACCAATAATGAACTCGTCATTCTGTCACTCTCCTCATATCAACATATCCCTTACTAGCACATGAGCACAGCTGAGTGGCTCACTGTGCTGCTTCTCCCTCTTCCAATGTGAACTATGCTTTACAAGGAATGGAAAAGGCTGATACCAGATCAAATTCTTACATTGTTTTTAAAATGTAAATTTGTTGTACTAACGAATACAAAACTGAATGAGTTTGTGTCCTTTAATTCTGCCTGGAATTTAGCTTTAAACATAAAAGGATTCAGCAAAGAGTGGACATTTCAAAATGCATGTCAATTTGATAAAGGCAGTTACGTTTAGTAATAAGTTGTAGAAATACATTTGGGATGTGGTAATATACTTTTGTTTATGTCCATCCCACACTTATGGTCACTACATTGGTGAAATACATTAGGTCTGGAAGCACAGTATTCCCTAGAAATGTATGTACTGAGCTGCCTAAATTTATTTGGCCACATACTGTAGTGGTGCAACCAGCGTTGTATTACCTGCCTAATATTCCATGTGTAGATGTCCTAAAATCAATCAGAATATTATTGGGCAGGTTCCTAGAGTACTACTCCCAACCTTAACAATAGTCCTGCTTGATGTCAAAAGTGATCCAATGAAAGCTTTTAAAGGTCTTCCCTTGTTAGATTTTATATCAGGTACAAGTCATACAAGAGATTTTATATATGTTACAAGTCATACAATAGATTTTATATGTGGTACAGGTCATACAAGAGGTTTTATTTTTGAATGATTATCCATTACCTTCCAAAGAATTTCTCATCTGGCCTGCACATCCATTGTTCAGGTTGCATACAGCATTTGTTTCTATGGCAGTAGCACAAGCCATCTACTCATCTCTGTGTAATCAGCAAAAAACAGTAGAAATTCGGCTAAAAATGTCCAGCCTTTTACACCTTGGAAGCTGTAATGATGAACTCCCGTGGTACTCTGTTAACGTCCTGTGTGTGGTGACATTCTTGTACAGTAGACCCATTGCATGGTATAGTTTCTTTTTTTTTAGCCACATTGAATGATGATCACATGAACTGTTGTAACCGAGGTTCTGTTTCTGTCTTCTCTTTAGTTATGTAAAATCAGAATAGCTATTTCTGTTTTTCTATCTTATTTCAGATTTCTGATGACTGATAAAGTGATTGCAGTTTAGAATTGTGTTTGATTGCTATGTTTAACTTTACTATTTGCTATGTTTGAATTTGAGTAACCTCAATGCTTCTTTGTTTATACCTCATGTTTTGGAAGTTCCCCTTATTTATTCTTTACTATTGAAATCACAGCTTGGTATAACAATGCGCAAACTGAGGGAAAAGTGTGATTTGATACAAGAAGGCGGAAGGTTAACAGATCCTTCTATAGACAAGCGTATGGATTTTCATTTTAATGCTATACTGGATGTTGTGGCAGAGTGGCGTAAAGATAAGGGTCAACAACAAGATGTTCCACTTGGAGGTATCTATTCACACAATATATTTATACAGTTTTAGTAAATACTAAGGACATAGCTAAGGTTGTCCATCAATGCGCCGATTACTTACCAAGAAATGGCCTCCAGACATAATTTGAAGATCAATGTTATATACAGTGCCTTGAAAAAGTATTCATACCCCTTGAAATTGTCCACATTTTGTCATGTTACAGCCAAAAATGTAAATGTATTATATTGGGATTTTATGTGATAGACCAACACAAAGTGGCACATAATTGTGAAGTGGAAGGAAAATGATAAATGGTTTTCAAATTTTTTTTACAAATATCTGAAAAGTGTGGTGTGCATTTCTATTCAGCCCCCTTTACTCTGATACCCCTAACTAAAATCTAGTGGAACCAATTGCCATCAGCAGTCACCTAATTAGTAAATAGAGTCCACCTGTGTGTAATGTATTCTCAGTATAAATACAGCTGTCCTTTGAAGCCCTCAGAGGTTTGTTAGAGAACATTAGTGAACAAACAGCATCATGAAGGCCAAGGAACACACCAAACAGGTCAGGGATAAAGTTGTGGAGAAGTTTAAAGCAGGGTTAGGTTATAAAAAAATATCCAAAGCTTTTCAAACATCTTATGGAACACTGTTCAATCCATTATCTGAAAAATGGAAAGAGTATGGCACAACTGCAAACCTACCAAGACATGGCCTTCCACCTAAACTGACAGGCCGGGCAAGGAGAGCGTTAATCAGAGAAGAAGCCAAGAGGCCCATGGTAATTCTGGAGGAGCTGCAGAGATCCACAGCTCAGGTGGGAGAATCTGTCCACAGGACAACTGTTAGTTGTGCACTCCACAAATCTGGCCTTTATGGAGAAGTGGCAAGAAGAAAGCCATTGTTGAAAGAAAACCATGAGACGTCCCATTTTGCTGTTTGCAAGAAGCCATCTGGGGGACACAGCAAATATGTGGAAGAAGATGCTCTGGTCAGATGAGACCAAAATTTAACTTTTTGGCCTAAAAACAAAATGCTATGTGTGGTGGAAAACTAACACTGCACATCACCCTGAATACACCATCCCCACCATGAAACGTGGTGATGGCAGCATCATGTTGTGGGGATGCTTTTCTTTAGCAGGGACATGGAGCTGGTCAGAGTTGATGGGAAGATGGATGGAGCCAAATACAGGGCAATCTTAGAAGAAAACATGTTATAGTCTGCAAAAGGCTTGAGACTGGAGCGGATGTTCACCTTCCTGCAGGACAACGACCCTAAACATACAGCCAGAGCTTCAATGGAATGGTTTAGATCAGTGGTGGGCAACCTTTTTTTTCAACTGAGCCAAATCTCGCCAAAACCACGATTAAAATTTATTTTGAGAGCCCACATTTTTAAAACTGAAAATACATCCCCCATAGTAATTCATCCCCCCTATAGTAATTCATCTCCCCTATAGTAATTCATCCCCCATATAGTAATTCATCCCCCATAGTAATTCATCCCCCCTATAGTAATTCATCCCCCATATAGTAATTCCCATATAGTAATTCATCCCCCATATAGTAATTCATCCCCCCTATAGTAATTCATCCCCCATATAGTAATTCATCCCCCATATAGTAATTCATCCCCCCTATAGTAATTCATCCCCCCTATAGTAATTCATCCCCCCAGTAATTCATCCCCCCTATAGTAATTCATTCCCATATTGTGTCAATTCACTTACCTGTACTCCGCGCGTTCCTCTCGCCGTGTTCCCGCGCAGTTCTGGTCTTCAGGGCGGACTGTGAGAGGAGAGGAGTTCGTCACGCTGCCCCGCCTACATCCTGACAGCCAATGTTTGCCACGCTCCGCGGGCCGGATTAGTTAAGGTCCGCCGGGCCGTAGTTTGCCCATTGCTAGGCTAGCTGCAGAGTCCTGACTTTTGGGGCGGCCGCCCGAGAGGAGGGAGGGGAGCGGGCGCCCGGCACACAGAAGAGCTGCATTAACCTCCCTGGCGGTATGATTCCTTCCGATTTTTTGTGCTGAAAGCGGTACCATTTTTTCGCATGGAAATAGTTTTTTTATTGTAGGCTGTAATTTTTAGGAAAATTTCCCCACAAATCATTATCACTCAATTCTGCAAGTGGTTCTGATTTACTATCGCTGTTCTCTAGCCGGTCTAAAACCGCTTTTGACCTAAAGGGACGCTTTTTGGACGCCATGGACTTTTCTAAGTTTCCAGGCAGAAAGAACAGACAAAATGCAGGCAGGGCACAGGACAAAGCACTAGGGACAATATGTATGTGAAATGGGATGAAACAGCAATGTTTTACTATTGAAAATTGAAAAAAAAAAAAAAAAGACATTTTTTAAATTTTTTAAATTTCCCGCCGCCGGCGGCGCCCGTACGTCCCGACGTCACAGGGACAGGACACAGAAGCCGGATGCCGGCATCGGCCGGAGGAGATGGCCGGGGACGCTGCAGGGGACACATCGCATGGGAACGAAGGACAAGGTAAGTGCTGCAGGGACCCCCAAAGCAGCGCCGCATGGTAAGCCCGAGTGTAGCTCGTGGTATAGAAATTCTACCACGAGCTACACTCGGGAAAACCGCCAGGGAGGTTAAAAGAGCCGCGGCTTGCCGACCACTGAGCTACGGCAACCCTATTGCCTGTCACCTGGTGGGCAGTGTGCTCCGGAGCCGCAGCAAAGTGAAAAAGAGCCGCATGCGGCTCTGGAGCCGCGGGTTGCCGACACCGGTTTAGATCAAAGCATAGTCGTGTTAGAATGACCCAGTCAAAGTCCAGACCTAAATCCAATTGAGAATCTGTGGCAAGACTTTGAAAATTGCTGTTCAGATGCTCTCCATCCAATCTGACAGAGCTTGAGCTATTTTGCAAAGAAGAATGCACGCCACACTTTTCACATATTTATTTGTAAAACATTTTGAAAACCATTTATCATTTTCCTTCCACTTTACAATTATGTGCCACTTTGTGTTGGTCTATCATATAAAATCCCAATAAAATACATTTACGTTTTTTGTTGTAACATGACAAAATGTGGAACATTTCATGGGGTATGAATACTTTTTCAAGGCAATGTATATAACATTGATCTTCAAATTATGTCTGGAGGCCATTTCGTACGTGGGCTGCCCTCATCTTTCTTATCTGATCATTATTCCTTGAAAATCTGATTCTGTGTGTGTATAATTTTTGTTCAACTGAAACAATACAGAAGTTTTGCAGGGGTGCTAACTGCAATAATGACAGTCTGGTGTATGCACTTATCATATATCAAGGCAAAATAAAAAAATTGCATATTTAGTGCATCTCTGCAATAGCACGCCTATTTCCCTTTATCCCTTTAACCTCCTTGGCGGTATTCCCGAGTGTAGCTCGGGGTAAAATGTCAGTACCAAAAGCGGTAACCCCGAGCTACACTCGGGCTTACCATGCGGCGTTGCTAAGGGAGTCCCTGCAGCGTTTTTTCCTTGTCCTTCGCTCCCGCGATATGTCCCCTGCAGCGTCCTCGGCCATCTCTTCAGGCCGATGCCGGCATCCGGCTTCCGTGTTTCGGTCCCTGTGATGTCGGGACGTACGGGCGCCGGAACCGGCGGCAAATTTGAAATTTTTTAAAAAATGCTGTTTTAATGCATTTCACATACATTTTGTCCCTACTGCTTTGTCCTGTGCCCTGCCTGCATTTTTACTGTTCTTTCAGGATGTATGGGGACAGAACTGGCAGGAAATTTTAAAATTTTAAAAGTGACATTCACTAAAATCACATAGTATAACATTACTGTATCAAACTATTTCACATACATTTTGTCCCGAGTGCTTTGTCCTGTGCCCTGTCTGCATTTTTACTGTTCTTTCTGCCTGGAAACTTAGAAAAGTCCATGACGTCCAAAAAGCGTCCCTTTACGTCAAAAGCGGTTTTAGACCAGCTAGAGAACAGTTATAGTAAATCAGAACCACTTATAGAATTGAGTGATAATGATTTGTGGGGAAATTCGTCATCAGACACTGAAAACGATTTTGCGACTTTGCTCAGCGATGTGCGAATTTGCCTCTGTATTTCAAATTTCAGTGTTTTTGGTTTGATTATATTATTGAATTAAATTTATTGTTATTATATTATAATTTTTTATGATTATTTATTAAATTATAATTTATGATTTCTTGTTTCAAATTTTATCCTACCCGGGATGTTTACTAGACTCTTATTTGTACAGATTTCAGTGAGTTATTCCTAAAAATTACAGCCTACAATAGAAAACTACATATTTCCATGCAAAAAAATGGTACAGCTTTCAGCACAAAAAATTGGAAAGAATCATACCGCCAGGGAGGTTAAACATGCTGCAAGTACAGAAAAATAACTGTTGATGCACCAGACATATAGGAGTTGATTTACTAAAGCTGGATATTGCAAATTCTGGTGCAGTTCTGCATAAAAAGCAATCAGCTTCAGGGTTTTTGGCAAAGCTTAAGCAGGCCATACATGGGTCGAATTTCGAATGATTTTTCGATCGAAAATCTAAAACATCGTTCATTCTGTAATCCGATGGTGCCTCCAATGGTTTTGAGAATCAGATATTTTTCATGAATTTTCCAGCATGCCCGATAAACGAAATGGGGAGGAACCACGAAAATCGGCAGGTGCCATTGCCCCACTAACAGAGCGAAAATCGTCCGATTATTCTTAGGTTCGATTTTTGAACAAAAAAAATCTTTGATAATCGATCCATGTATGGCCGGCCTTGATTGAACAAGCTGAAGTTAGAAGCTGATTAGCTACCATGCATAGCAGCACCAGATTGTGCACTCTTCAGTTTTAATAAATCAACCCAATAGTGTCATCCTTCTTTATGACTTGACAACACAGCTGAATTCAGGTGCACATGTTTTCAGCCCCTCATCTCCTCATCTCCCTCCCCCCTCCTAATCTCCATAACCCCTCCTTTGTTAGCTCAAATCCTCTTACATCAACCCCCCAACACCTCCCCTGTTGAAATCTCTGGTGAGGTGGCGGTTAATAGAAATGAGGGAACTGTGACCGGCACTCATTAAGAGTGCCCGACTATGCCAGCCCTTACTGCTCAACTCCTCCAATAATAGGAACCATACTACAGCTTCTATGAATGAAAAATGATCTATGAATGGAGAAGGCAGACCTTTCAATCATCCAACTGTTCTCCATTCATAGATAATTTTTTTCATTTATGGAACAGGGGAGCTGAGTGGAAAAGGCAGATAGTCGAACACTCTTGATGAGTGCCTGTCACAGCTTCCTTAGTTCTATTAACCCCATCATACAAGAATATTATAGTGGCAGTGATAGAGGGAGAGCCAATGGAGGAAGATTTGAAGGGAGACAGCAGCACAAGAGACACATCTTATTGACTGTAAGCAGTGCCCTTTCTTCTCATTTTTGTGTTTTTATTTTGACTAAACTTGTGTTTTAACAGGTTAAAAAGGAGCAAATAAGAGAAATGTATTCTTAGAGTTTACATACACTCAAAACGCCCCTGCTTCTTTTCCCAGATTTTACAGTACCTCATTCAGGATAATGAATTAGCTTGTAATGCATTTGTCATGTCCTGTTCTTCTTATCACTATTTCCATATCTGGACTCCCAAGCCTCAGATCATATGACATTAAGTATATTCACACATACAGTACAAGGCTATAGAAAAAAACACAATCTTCTTTGTGCAGGACAACACAATATTTAATCAGAAACCTAAAAAACACAGTTTTGCTTCTGAAAATTATATCTGTGGGGTCTATGTACAAAGGATGCGTTGGGCATTTCTCACAGATAATGTTTGCTGCACATTTATCCATCTGTATTTGGCTATCTTTTTCAGAGGATTCACTGTATGTGTAAAGGGGCAGGTAATGGACAAATCTTGATTTCATTTTTAAAGGATGGGTGAATCTTGATTGCAGTTGGAATCTCTCTTTTACTGTATGTTAAAAACTGAGCGGGAAATCTTATTTGAATTTAAATGTGAGGAGTGGATCTTGTTTGTTAATTAAATTCCTCTATTATGTTGTAAAATAATACCCTCATCTGACACCAAAATTGCGCTGTGAACAGGGCACATAGAAATCAATTGTTTTCTTTCTATCCTCGCAGCGACCTATGTTAGAAAAAGGCATGTCTTAGCACATGTTGAGAACAAGCCTAAAATATTCTATGCAAATGAAATCTTTGTGTTTTTTTTCATCAGTTTTTCATTCACATTCGGTGTGAACGAGGCGTTACAGAGCTTGAACAAAACACCCAAATATTGTGATTCATAAATAAGGCAGCAGACTGCGGGAACAGTTAGGACTGATTCACAGCATACAGTACATGCATAAGAATTGATGGAAAAATGGTGCAGATTTTAATATCATAAAATATTTTGTGCTTTTCACACCATGTGCAGAGACGTGCGTTTTAATGTAGGGCTCTGCAAGGATATCATGAAAATAATTGATGTCTCTTGCCCTGTTCACACCACAATGTTGGTGTTGGGTGGTTTTTTGTGCCATTGCAGACAGGTGCAGAATAACTGACGTTTCTGCACATGGTGTGAACTTGGCCACTGTGCAGACATAATAAATATCCCCACAACCAGGAAGAAAAATTCCAGACTCTCTATTTACAGGTACCCCTCTTCTACCCCTCAGTGCAGCATAGTAATTAAAAGTAATCCTGTTGTTCTGTCCACCGTGTGCGACCCACTTTGAAACTACTGCTTCCTGGAGAGAGGCTTCAGCCAACACTTCTTAAAACTGCAGTGTTGTTCCTGGCTTTGTACCACAATCAGCCCCGCAGAATGGGATAAACTGGTCATGTCAATAAAAGGACAGAGGGTGGGGTACATGGGATCACCAAGGCAGAGTACAGCGGGAGGTCACTAGGCAGAGTACAGGGAGTTGCTTTCCTCCTCATGCAGAATAGCACAGGGAAGTTGCTGTAGCATGTCTTTTCCCTTGATCCCCACTAGCTCTCCTCTCATCCATCCCAGGTGATATAACGTACAAGAGCCTGGGACAGACAGAAGAGGAAGGCTGCTGGAGAACAGCACAGTAATGAATGATTTGCTTTGCTGCACTGTTCTGTAGATCCATAACACAGGGTTTATCAACTGAGGTTCTGCCGCAAATCAATATTGTGGCAGATGTATATTCACCCAATTTTGTTTTCAGTGTGCACTGACAGTAAGTACTGTCAGTGTGCCTTGGTACCTGATGCCTCCTCTGTAGTGCCAGTTCCTGTGGACTCAGAGGGCAGTGCCGGGAGGAGTGCAGAGGGCAGGGGCACATAGCCGAATGTGGCAGGAGGAGAGCTCTTGTGTATGGCAGCAGCTGTATGCAGACTGTGGAGGTGGGGATCAGAGAGCGGGAGCATGTGGCTGAATGTAGCAGGAAATGAAATCCTGTGTATGGCAGTGCTGAATGCAGACTTCAGAGAGGGTGAGCACATGGCTGGATCAGACTGAATGTAGCAAGAGTTGAGACCATAATAGCTTTATGTTATGCCATAACTGTACATAAAGTTAATATGATCTCACCTACTTGCAAAACATTGAGGACTTGATAAATTGATAAATGACTAAGGTAAATATTTTTTTCTTTAATAGCTAAATGCTGTAAAATGCATATGGGCAAATGCCCAGTGGAAATTGCAAATGCCCTGTGGAAATTGCAATTCTTTTTGAATAGGCTCCTCTATATATTTTTCCTGTTTGATGGTACTGAAGGATGGGATCACCTAGTTTTCTGACAGCTTACTCATGCATCAGCAAATGAGGAGTATCCACCCTTTGCCAAAGAAAGAAGGGAAAAGTATATAGAAATGCTTACTATTTGTTTTAAAAAGGGGCATTTTATAAAGGGTGTTAGTTTGTGTTTCTCTTATTGGATAGTGTGGTGAAAGCCTGCAGGTGACATTTTGGGCACAGTTGTAATCTATACCAATTTGTGCAATACTGACTGGACCACTCATTTTTCAAACGGCAAATATGGTTACATCTCCTAATAAGACGGGGGTGACCAAGAGCAAGTCAAAGCCAAGATGGCAGATTTGATCTTTCACGCATGGCCAGCTTTACAATCAAAGCTTTACTTTTGTTAGTTATCTGTACTATATCAACCGTATCTTGGTATCCATTAATCATACCTACTCTTCACTAGGATATAAGTTCAGTTTTGTAGCCCAATTAAGGCATTATTTCACTACTACATGTTACTGTTCTGCCATGTAATGCATACACTTTTTTTTATTAGATAAGATACAAGAGATCTACAAAACATTCATTCAAGAATCTGGAATCCAGTTCACAGATGTTGAGGAAAAGGTTTTACAGTTCCACCTTGGGAATCTGGAATATGCTTGTGGAAGCAATCTGCATAATGTGAGTTCTTGTTCATTTTTTGCACATTTATCTGTGCATAATCCTGAAGTAAAATAATAGATTATGCTTTTTGAACGTTGTAAAGCTACCCATTGCCACTGATTTTTTTTTTTACATTTTGGGATTAAATATTGATTTTAACCTTCTACACACTAGGGTTGATTTACTAAAAGTGGAGAGTGCAAAATCTGGTGCAGATTTGCATAGAAACCCATCAGCTTCCAGGTTTTATTGTCAAAGCTTGATTGAACAAGCTGAAGTTAGAAACTAACTGGCTATCATGCATAGATGTACCAGACTCTTTCCCTCTCCAGTTTTAGTAAATCAACCCCATTGTGTCTGGTTTCAGCATAGATGTGTACATCTAGAAAACACATACAGCAAATGAGTATCTATGTGTGGCCTAGGACAATGATTTAAATAATTGTAGTCATTGAATCAGCATGACAACCAGGTAACTACTTTTCTTAAAAAAGTTTAGCAACTGCAGCCTATACATCTTTCACAAATTTCCTTTACAAACACCCAGGAGTCTGTTTATAAAAAAGTCTGCTTCTCATGCAAGCATAACAAATAATACCCAAAATGTTTGTAATATGTATGTGTAATGGTTTCATTGTTGCCTTTCGCTGGGTGAAAGTAACATTCCCTAACATTTAGTTCTAAGAGAAAATACCTACAGTTGTGTTCAAAATAATAGCAGTCAGACATCACTAACCTGATCAATCACTGTTTTTGGTAGAAATGATATTTCTACGTGGCAAATAATTTACTAGCAGGTGTAGTAGAGTAATAGAAATCCAACAGACCCAACAGTCATGGCATGCATGCTGCTGATTCTGTGTAATTGAATCACTCATTGAAAGGGGCATGTTCAAAATAATAGCAGTGTGGAGTTCTATTAGTGAGGTCATTCATTCTTTGAAAAACAGGTGACAATTATTGCCCTTATTTAAGGAAGGAAGGCAGCAAATGTTGTACATGCTGGTTACAGTGCATTTCTCTCTGAAATTCTGAGGAAAATGGGTCGTTCCAGAAATTGTTCAGAAGAACAGAGTACCTTGATTAAAACATTGATTGGAGAAGGGAAAACATATAAAGAAGTGCAGAAAATGATAGGCTGCTCAGCTAAAATGATCGCAAATGCTTTAAAATGGCAACCAAAACCTGAAAGACGTGGAAGAAAGCAAAAAACTACCATTCGAATGGATAGGAGAATAGCCAAAATGGCAAGGACTCAGCCAACAATCAGCTCCAGGAAGATCAAAGAAGGTCTAAAGTTACCTGTGAGTACTGTTACAATTAGAAGACGCCTATGTGAAGCCAAGCTATCTGCAAGAAGCCCCCGCAAAGTCCCACTGCTGAAAAAAAGACATGTGCTGAAGAGGTTAGTTACAATTTGCCAAAGAGCACATTGACTGGCCTAAAGGAGAAATGGCGCAACATTTTGTGGACTGATGAAAGTAAGATTGTTCTTTTTTTGGGTCTAGTGGCTGGAGACAGTTTGTCAGACGACCCCCAAACACTGAATTCAAGCCACAGTACACTGTGAAGACAGTGAAGCATGGTTGCGCAAGCATCATGATATGGGGATGTTTCTCATACTACGGTGTTGGGCCTATTTATCGCATACCAGGGATCATGGATCAGTTTGAATACATCAGAATACTTGAAGAGGTCATGCTGCCTTATACTGAAGAGGAAATGCCCTTGAAATGGGTGTTCCAACAAGACAACAACCCCAAACACACCAGTAAACGTGCAACATCTTGGTTCCAGACCAACAAGATTGACGTTATGGAGTGGCCAGCCCAATCCTCGGATCTTAATCCAATAGAAAACTTGTGGGGTGACATCAAAAATGCAGTTTCTGAGGCAAAACCAAGAAATAGAGAAGAACTGTGGAATGTAGTCCAATCATCCTGGGCTGGAATACCTGTTCACAGGTGCCAGAAGTTGGTTGACTCCATGCAACACAGATGTACAGCAGTTCTCAGAAACAGTGCTTATACAACTAAATATTCATTAAGTGATTCAAAGGAAATCAAAATCTTCAAACATTTTTCATTTTATATAGTGAATGTTTGAGTTTGTAAAGAAGAATACAAACACTGCTATTTTTTTGAACAGTCTAATATTCACTTTTCTTCAATTTTTTTTAGAGGAACAACACAAATTTGATACATTTTCCTTCATGTTTTGATTTGGAATAGAATGTGTAGTGTTCCCAATGCATTTGTGTGTATGGAAATAAAAGCTATTAGAAGGATTTTGAGCTTTATTCACTTTTTTCAACACACTGTTATTATTTTGAACACACAACTGTATAAGAACATTCGACTATGAGAGTTATTCACCAATAGAGTCAATATCCTACCACATTCAATCAGCAAGGGAAATAGTATGAGGGAGTCTTCTACACTGTGTTTGGAAAATTCTGTGCAAACAGCTGAATGAATTGGTGTTTAGCCGAACAAATTTGTAACTGCAGTGTAAAGTGAAACATTTAACAGTGGTATTATAATAATTTTGTAAACGTTGCAATTCCATTCTTGAAGACTGTGAATTATGGGATGTACATTTATCACTGCATAGCTAGGTAGGGCAAACTGTTTCTCTACTTCCCAGATATCTAAATCTGTCAGTAAGCTTTAGTGACCAGTCTGCCAGGAGGCTAAAATCTAGGCAGTGGTCCATCAAAATATGTGAGATTTAGTCTAATTAACTTTAAAACCAGCGTGATTACCAAAGCTTTGAATGCTGCTTAACAAGCTGTCATTTGTATATTGGGGATCTGTTAAGTACAACTTATCATCCGCATGTAGGGAAATTTAGTCTTGCAGTGTACTGATATGAATGTATTTTAGCAGTGGTGAAACTCTTATGAGTTCTGTTATCGATTCAACTGCAAGATCAAGCAGGAGTGGAGACTGTGAACATCCCTGCCTTGCACTTATCTGGATAAGGAAGGGCTCAGAAATAATCCTACTAACGCTAATGCAGGGTGGATTTGATTTAAATCAAACTGATTTAAACCACGATTTAAATCACTAGTCAGTAAGGCTTGATTTAAATCCTAGTTTTCTACATAAAGACTAATTCTTGCTGGTATAACTTTAATATGCAAGTAGATGAAGATTTTTAGAATAACAACTTTTCATATTAGTTTTTTTATCCCCAGTTTAATAGGTTAATCATTCATATTTGGACAACTTTTTTTGTTGTACTTAGGAAGGAGAAAAATAATCATTACCTTAATAATAACAATTTAAATAGATTTATTCAACTGAAACAATAACATTCCAGCATATGTGATTTGCTTAAACAAACATCCATGTTTTGTTAACTAATTTGGCTAAACAAAATATATATATTTTAAGAAACTTAGACTGTCAGCCCCTTCCTCCTCACACTTAGCTTCACTTTCTTCTTGTGCAGATCTATTCCACTCCAAACAATCAGGAAAATATTGTTTCTATTCTATTCATTGAACTTCTTGAAACTTAGCACTGAAGGGGTTGATTCTGTATTCATAGGTTTGTAGAAGTTAGGATTAAGGTCTTTTTCTTAACTCTGTTCATGTTATAACATTTTTGCTGTGAAGAAGAGGCATGTGATCTCCGCTGAGTCAAATTCAGTTTTGAGAACTGCAAAAGTAAACCAAGCATCTGTGATAATATCTTGTAGGCAGAGAAACTGCCCAATAATCTCACAAAAACCTCTGGAAGACCATGACATTGTGAATGGATTAATGGAATTTATTTACCAAAAAAAATTAAACATATACAGCCTTATTCTACATAATTAAAAAACTAATGTTTATTTCATGATGGAATAACCTTTGGATGGTAATATATTTTCCTCAAAAAGCATTTTATTTAAAAAAAAATCCGATTTAAATTAAAAAAATCAGATTTTTTTTTGATTTTTTAAAAAAAAAATCATTGATTTTTATCCACCCTGCGCTAATGCATCCAGCAGGTTGAATATATAGTAACTGTATTCAAGTTAAACATTTTTCACCAACTCCATATTTATGCAAAACACCAATTGGATGGGGCTATTTGGTAAAATCAAAAGCCATGTTGGTTTGCGGAGCTGTGGAGGAATTAGTAAACTGAAGATTGGTAAAAAGTGTTTGGATATTAATATTTGTGTACATACATGGAATGAATACGGTTTGGTCAGATTTAGAGAGTAATAATGAAAGTTTAGTTTTAGTTAGATTGACAATACATAAGAGCTAATTTTAAGATCTGTACGGATTAGTGAAATTAGTCTGACGGATTCACAATCTTTGTTGGGTTTCAGAACTAATATTATCAGGGCTTCCCTTATGGACGGTGGATGTATCTGAGATTCAAAGATAGCTTTATATACAGTAATATTAGTAGGAATTGGAATCAATAGTTCTTTATGTATTAAATAGCATCCAAGGGGGGGAAACCATCAAGTCCTGGAGTTTTTTGTTTAGTGAATGTAGATAAAGCTTGTTCTGTTTGCCCACTAGTAAGTGAGGCCTCAAGGAACTCTTTTTGTGCAGGATTAAGGGTTGGTAAAGTGATTGACTTGAGGTATGACAAAAGATTAGCGAACTACGTAATGCATGAGACTCATTTAGTTTAACATAGAATTGGAGGAACACTTCCATAATCAGGTCTATGGAGGTTTGTAGGGTACCCTTTGGTCATAAATTCATAGGATTGTGAAGATTTCAGGTATTGGCTTAGCTAAAAAGGCAAGTAGGTGGCCATTTTTATCTCCTGATTCAAAAACATGTTGCACCTGGTAATAGTTTTTTTTAGTCTGCCTAACCCAATTGGGACAATTTTTCTCCTTTAGCTTTTTTTACGTTTTACCCACACCAATCGCATAAGAGACTCTCATAGTGACTTTAAAGGTTTCCCATTTAAGATATTCAGAGAAGTCCTGTTCATTTTCATGCCAAAAATTAGTCATGTCTTTCCCTACTTGGGCAGTATGGACCCATCCTCCAAGTTTGGATACCTGGAGCAGGTGTTGTAGTAGGTAGAAGCTCCAAGGGAACATAATCAAAGATGGCTTTTGGTCAGTATGTTATACTGAACACTTTAAGTACATCAGTCTTGTTTAAAACCTATACAATCTGGACAGGGTATTATGAGAGTCTGACTGACAAGAATATTCTCTACTCTCAGGTTATTTTCATCTCCATACATTACATAAAGTTGTAACCTTCAGTTCAATCCTTTAAAATCCAAGAATACATTTTGTTATTACAAAATCTGTCAAGAAGGTGTTCCATTCCCATATTAAAATTTCCTGCAAGAATGTTAGATCCCCAGCAACATCAACTGCCTTAATTATAGAGTGGTTTAATCTGTCCAATTCCGTCTGAGAAGGGAGATAGATATTAGCAATAGTATAACAAGTACTAATGTTTTGTAATACCAGAATAACATAACATCAGTGTGGGTCAGTTTTTGTGATAGCATGGGCTGTGACAAGTCCTCTTTATGAAGAGCTCTGGGGTTTGTGAGACCACATATCTCTCATTTGTGCCTCCAGAGCAGCCATTGAAACAGATCAGTTTGATTGGCTGCTTTACAAGCCAGAAATGCTTTCATTTTCTGACACCACAGAAGGGGGGTAGGAACTTCCCTTCCTTTCACTCTTTAGAGTGCACTGGATTAGAGCAGTTGCATCAGTCCAGTTCCCTGGTGGAAGGCAGTGGCTGGAAGGGCTGTGTTAAAGTGATTGAGTTGCTGTTTAGCCACTTTTACCTTAAAGAGAATCGCTGGCTGCAAAGATTGATATCAGGATCAGATTGTAGCTGCAACCAGGATTCTGATATAACCACCTTAATATGAGGCTGTATATATACAGTACCTACTGCGGTATTGAGGTGGTTAAAGCGATATTAAGCCCAAAAACTAAAAATGTAGTATATTACAGCTTATTAAACCTTAGATGTGGTGGATGCCTTAGTTTTCTTCTTTTGGGGTTTTTTTTTCCCCTTTATTTCACCTGGTGATCCTGCCAGTAACATAATTTCTGTCTTAGGGGGTCTGCATTCTGGATGACTGGTAAAGCAGACACCTTTGGGCAGCAGCTATGTCAGTCTCAAACATAAAGAAAACAGGAGTATGGGATCCTGATTATCATGACAGTAATCATTTATTACAAGAAAATAATAGTACACTTACAGGTAAAATTCTTGGAAATCTGTACAAGTGGTAGGATTTACCAAGGTGGAGACAAAGCAAGGCTGTGTACAGGAACGGCAGCTCCAGATACCCTGGCCGGCATCACAGGGACCTGCTTTGACAGCTGTGAAAGGACTGCCAATAAACAGCGTCCAGTGCCATTGTCTTATGCCTTGTGGTAACCTCTACGTGCTGGTGGAAGAAGGGAGAGGCAATAACATGTTGCAAAGGACAACCCTTCTTTCTCATACCTGTCCCTAAAGGTAACAATTGGACTTACAAAGGATCTGGTTGGCCAGGAGTTTCTGTGTGGTCGCACTGTGTGTGGTTCAGGGGCGGACTGAGCATTTGGAAACTCGGGCACTGTCCGAGGGCCCGGGGTCAGTAGGGGGCCCTATGAGATGCCCCTGGTACCTTTTTCATAGGCTTTTTCTAGTTTGGGCAAGGACATGGGGCCCCATGATCCCCTATTGCCGGGGGCCCCATGAGTTGTCAGTCCGCCCCTGGTGTGGTCCACAGCATCACTTAACAACACAGAGAGTGGCGGTCTCCAACTGAATGTGCTGGAAACACTACATCACTCTCCCCAGTAAAAACATTCCCACACAAAACTAGGGGACCTATCACTCCAGTTAATATGTGCTTCAGTGAAATGCATGTTTTAATTTGGTGGTTTTGTGCCCTTAGATTATTATGTACATGCTTTGCACTAAAAAATAATACTAATGTTTTTTTGCCTTTTTTGTTCTCTTCAGGTATCTGCTCGTTCTTGGGATCACAATGAATTCTTTGCTCAGTTTGCTGGAGATCACACAATGCTAACTGCTGGTTACTCAGCAATAACAGAAAAATTGGCTGAAGGACTTAATATTCGACTCAGGTCACCTGTAAGTTCTAAAGAAAAAATAATTTATATAACAAGAATGTTTGCAAACTTTATTGAGTTAAATTTAAGTTTCCTATTCTCTGTTAAGAAGATTACACCTGTAATTATTGCCGTTCACAGCTTTAGCACTAGTATCAGAGCAGATTTGTGGGAATTCAGTAAGGGCTGCCACTTTTTCAGTATGTGAAGAGTATAAAGAACAAATCAGTTTAATGTTATATAATTTAGGGTTATGTTTGATGTTAGGGATTTTGGTGATAATTTAGGTCTAAGGACTAGGTTTTTGTGCAGGGGTTAAAGACTTACTTACATTAGAACTATAGGCAAGTATAGGCTATTTTTTTTTCATTTTGGATAGACCAAGCAAGATTATAACCCGTCAGATTTTTTTTTTCACCATCTTTGTCCCATTTTGGAGATTTCCCTTCACTTCCTGTTCCAAAGCCAAACAGGAAGTGAGAAATTAAAGGGAATCCCTTGGGGACTCCACTGCCATCAGAACTACTATAGTGTGGCCATTGGATGATTTCTCTTCTATTACATTTTTGGGACATCCCAAGATTTGGAATTTTCTTTACTTCCACTCTCAGTGATAATGGTAAACAGGACAAAAAAACAGGGTGAATCTCCTTAATGGGAACACAGACAGCAAACAAAAACTGACAGGGGTTCTAACCCCTCATCACTCTGTCCAAAACTAAAAAAAAGTTATGTCTTTAGTTATACTTTAAGGGGTTAGATTAAGTGTAAGACACATCAAAATTACTTCAGGAAAAGTTAATCAGAATCTGTACTTTGTGATATAAATTATAGTTAAAGGTTAAATATAGGATTTAGTATGGTATAGTTAGGATCTCGTATTGGTAATATCCTCCATCTTCATGGTATCTTTATTACTATCTTGAACTACTTCAGGTACCTACAATTTATTGTATCAATAGGCCAGGACAAGGTTAATGCAAATGTAACATCTGACCATGTGCCTTGTACTGCTGCCTAGCCGGATTCTGAAATGCTTTAAACTCTTGCCGTCCGCCTGCTGTTTATAAACGGCAGGGCGGTAGCAGTCCAAGGTCGGGTTGCCGTTCCTAAACGGCACCCGCCTTTTCTAGCTGTGCGCGCTCCCTAGGAGCGCGCACCACCGCGATCCGGTGTCCGCTGTGTCCTCCGGACACAGTGAAACACCGATCGTCGGACGGGACCTCTGTACGAGGTCCCGGTCATGTGATCACTGATTGGCGAATCAGTGATCACATGCAAAGTAGTAAGCAAGATGTCACTTGTGACATCATTGCTTACTACGTGTGAAATCTGTGAATGATCACAGAGGTCACATGGTACAAGGCTATTCACAACAGCCTTGTACCATGTGACAAGCTGTGACCAATCACAGCTCACTCAGTATTTCTCAATGACTGCAAGAATGCAGACAGAGAGAAAGAGAAATGATTGCTTTTACATCCTATATGGGTGTAAAAGCAATCAGTGTTTCTTCATCACCCCCCACAAGTAGTACAGTGTCACCATGGTGACACTGTACTGCAGGGTGACAGTATGTAAAAATAAAAAATAAAAATAAAAAATAATATAAAAAAAAATAAAATAAAAATTAAAAAAAATGTTTAAAAATTATAATGTTTGGTTATAAACTAATTTGGATTTTTTTTTTTTACTAAAAAAATAACGGAATAAATTTTGGCCAAGATTTAGGATGAAATATTATTTATTTGCAAAATTTTATAAAAAAAAAAAACACTTTTTTTTTCAAAATTTTTGGACATTTTTTTCATTTACATAGTAAAAAAAAATAAAAATCCCAGCGGTGAATAAATACCACCAAAATAAAGCTTTATCTGTCTCAAAAAAAAGGTAAAAAATTCATATGGGTACTGTATTGCATGACCGCGCAATTGTCATTCAAAGTGTGATAGCGCTGAAAGCTGAAAATTGCCCTGGACAGGAAGGGGGTAAAAGTGTCCGGACAGGAAGTGGTTAAAGAGAAGTACAGCCAAAGCTCGTTTGGCTGTACTACTCCTGTGTATCACGAATGCAGTTCGTTCTGCGCTCCTGTCACCCGTTTTCAGCTGACAGCGTGCTAAAGTCCACTGTTGGCTGACGCCACTTAGTCAGCCCAGGCTGCGGTAAGATCCAAAAAGGGTGCTGTGTGATATTGTGACAGCTGCTTCCCTTCACCAGCGCTCCATAACCTTTTTCAAAAAAGGAATGACTTTTAATACATTGTAATACAATGGGAATTATACCATCCCTACCCTGCTGCTTGACAGTGTGGAGTGGCTCGGGCAACTCTGGAGGAGGAGCTGTTCTCTACCCCCCACCCCCACTCCTTAAAGCAGGATTTCAGTCCGAATTTTTATTTTCCCATGCAGTGGGGCTGTGTCCGCACTGCATGAGTTAACTGCTTGTTTTGTCAAGGGGCTCAGGAAAAAGCTAAACTTACGCCGTTCTCCGATCTGTCGGAAAACTGTGCTTCCCCACGTCCAATGGTGTACTGTTTCTTGCCGTCCGGAGCTGATCTGTGAGCCAGTCTATGGGGTTTGTGGGTACCAGATTTTTTGTGTTGCCTAGGGCAGCACAAATTCTAAATACACTTCTGGGGACATGCACTCAGTTCTTAGGGACATGAATACTTTGCCTTGCCTGTAAATTCCATGTCATGGAGTACAGTACAGGACACAAGCTACCTTCCCTTCCATTCCTTGGTTACACTGCATTGCTTACTACAAACTGAGGATTCTGATAGTGGAGTAGGGTTGGAAGGCGCCCAGGGGATGTGACCTCAAAAGCTTTGCGTTCTCAATCACTTGAAAGTATGAATTTATAACCCAGGGTCTATGAATACTTTGCCTGTGTCTTGTAATGTACTGTCAGAAATGGAATTTACAGGTAAGTCAAAATATCTATTTTGTTGTTGCATATTCAATAAATACAGAAATTTGCTTCTATATTCCATATTTTTGTACAGTACACAGTATGTTTGTACATAGCAAAGTATTATGTTCTTGTTTTTCTTTCCTACAGGTGAGAAAGATTGATTACAGCGGTCCAGAAATTACTTTAACAACATCAGATGGGAAAACATACAGTGCACAAAAGGTAATCTTGTCTGTATGCTCAATATTTTGATATTTGTATTACTGTTCTAGTATGGTTTTGGAGTTATATTATAGAGTTTATTCATACAGCTATAATTTACAAAAATTACTAATTCTTGCTGTAAATAACAAACATCAAAGCAAACTATGCATGTTTTATAGCTTTGTGACCATTGTAAATATTTATTTTGATTTTTGATTGGGATGTTTTACACATGATCAGCTCTGGGCTATTTCCTCAGGCTCCATTCACACTTAGGCGTTTCAAATCATGGGTGGAATCGCTGTGATTCTGCCCGCAATTTGAAAACGTGCAGTGAAAATGTGAAAACGCGCATTTTCAAATCGTGGACAGAGTCACGGCGATTCCACCCGCAATTTGAAAGCATAAGTGTGAATGGAGTTTAATTGCCTGGCTGTTAAACTAGCCTGCTTGCTCTAATGTTCACTATGTTCCATTGTTCAATGTTTCATTAGTTCAGATAGGTATACAGATCAGTAACTTCAGAAGTATTTATCTGCTGACTTGGGGGGGATTAGTGATTTAAAATAAGCCAGTGACTTGGGGAATTAGTGACTTAAAGTAAACAAGAGGGGTAGCATGACAGTCAGGAAACTAGCATTTGAAGGATGACAAAATCTACAATGGCAGAATCCATGGTTTTTAAAGGAATGGTTTCTTTTAAATGGAATCTAGTACAAAAATATGGGAGCTGCCACTTCAGACTTCTGCAGGCCCCCTAATCCTGACATTACTGCTTCATTGTGTCACTGCCTTGGAACAATCATTCAGCCAGTGCAATATAACAGGATGTTCTTGTTTCCCAGATTGCAAGCTGTAAGGCTGCCATCCTCACCCCTGATATGTCTGTTAGGCATGTTTATTCTGGGACATTGACTCACAAAGTAGTAAAGCATGGATAAAGAAGACAGCACCGGAGCATACAATTATGACAAGTCATATGGAACTTTCAATATTGAACTTTTGTAAATCAGCAGTTTTTATATATCCTCTGATGTTTGACAGATTTAATTTGCTCCTATTTACTCTACAAAAACTGTATTTGTGCAGGTTTTGGTCACAGCCCCCCTGGCAATACTTCAGAAAAATGTTATTCATTTTAATCCTCCTTTACCAGAGAAAAAAGTTAAGGCCATCAACAGTCTAGGAGCCGGAGTTATTGAAAAGGTACAGTGCTTACCAGGGAAGTTATCATGAAGTTTGTGTTGCTAAATTAAAGGTTATTTGTGTCTTTTTACAGAGTAGCTCTGCCCATGTCATTCATTCATAGAGATCTGTGAATGAATAAACTACAAGTACCAACAGCCTAGTGAGTGCTGTAGGTAGTTCATTGAGTCTTTCTGTCATTGTGTAACTGCCTGCCTGTATGAGGTATGACAGTGTGCAGGAGCCCTGCATTGCACCCAAGATCTGCTGACTGCGCATGCAATGCTTTCCAGGCTCTTACAAAAAAATTAGTAATAGTTATTAGTATGTTATTGGTATAGAACCCTTGCGCAATCACCGCTGTATAATTAAATACAAAAGCGATATACTTCCCTCAAATGAGATCTCATAAGGGAAATAGTTGCTGCTGTATCCCAATATGATCACACCACATATATATAGATATTTGTAACAATAAATAAGGAACAACGCTACATGACAAAGGAAAATAAATACAATTAAGAGTCCTTTATAATTATATATCCAAGTCCTTATTCTGTAATCCTTATATAAAAAGTATCAATCCAATTGCACGGAAAGAAACTAGGTATTATAACACCACCTTGTGAATCACCACCACCTTCAGCCTTTCACCTTATGTCTCTGGGTTGTGGGGAATTCAACTTTGAGTAGAGCAGAATCAGGATGGATATTTGAATTCAGGACTTTGGTACCAAAAAGCTTGAATGTGAAATTTGCCGTTAATTGGTTTATCAGTGATTCGTAATATTATAAGGGATGTATGAGGTCCATTATACAGATTATGGTAATGCAAATGAACACGGCACCTTGTGAGTATGAAAAGTTACCCATACATACATACCCCATATGCAGGGTGAGGTGGTCAGTAAGACTGCAATTAAATAACCGCCTCTCCTTACCTCTATGTTTTTAGTATATTTATTTATTTGTTCATTTCAGATATTATAGCTAAATAGCTAATTATAATGCATTTGGAGGTTATGATGACTCCCTTGTGCGGGTATAATACAATAGGAAGTGCATCAGCTAGTGTGCAAATACAAATTATTTTTAACCAAGACATGCACACCGCACATCTAGGTATTCATAGCAAACGTCAACTACAGCAGCTATTTCAACCAGTTTACACCACTACTCTGCTATCCCTCTGAGGAAGCCACGTTTTTGGCGCAACGTGTAAGGGTGGGGAGATAATGACACATTGATTGCCAGCAGAGTCTGTATGTACATTCAGCACAGGAGGGGAACATAGGAGTGATACACAGACTACCAGCGTTTCCACCAGGTGACGTTTTCATACAGGGCAGTTGTGGAACTTTATGTCTATCACCTGCGGTGCACCAGGGAACTGCACACGACTTGTGAGTGTGTTTTTTACAATTATTTTAGTAAATTTGATTTTATACAGTACACACTACCCTAGTTTATGTTTTCGTAAACAAACATCGGTGGATCCTGTGAGCCATTGAAAGGTGCAACTCGCCAGGTAGAAAATTCCCCACAACCCAGGGATATAAAGGGTTAAAGGCACATAAAGACCAAAATTGCAGTAGGTAAAATTATTAGAGGCTGAAAGTAGTGCTGATTCACAAGGTACTGTTATAATACCTAGTTTCTTTCCAGGCACTTGGATTGAATTGCTACTTTATATGAGGATTACAGAATAAGGATTTGAATATATAAATACTGTATAAAGGACTCGTAATTGTATTTGTTTTTCTTTCCCATGTAGCGCTGTTCCTTATTTATTGTTATAAGTAATAGTTATTATTTTTTTAGAAAGGTGAACTTTTACTTTAGATAACATTTACGTTTTTTTTTTTTATAATGGGGTGCCTTGAGATTTTACATGCTTTTAAAGTGTCCCATGTATGGAATAAGGTTGAGAAACTCTATTTTTGACTATGTATTCTATATCACTAGATGTGACCATACATGTGAATTGATGAATGTTGTAGATATTTCCCCTGGTTTGGGAAAAAAAAAGTGAAAAATGCTGTGTGCGGATCATATTTTATTTGCATTTTTCTTTACCATTCGTCTGCTGCAGTTTACCCAGGTACATGAGCTTTCCATTTCTAACAGGCAGCATAAAAACTTCAAATATTGATTTCCATACTGAGAACCTGGCAGGTAGTTCTTCACATGCATTGTTGGCATCAAAAACAAATGGAAAAGCAAAATAAGTCTCCTAATCTTTGACACCTGACATGTAACCCTCCATTTATCCAAGCCCTAAACCTATTGTGCAAATGTTTGCAGCGACTTTCAGTTTTTGCAGAATGCTTGTATTGACCTGTATATCAGATTTTATGGTTCATTGGTTATGCTATGAGCTTTTTGTTTCCTTTAAAGAGATGCTACAAGTTTACAAGCTTTTAAATATAATCTATATTTTTTCTGCAGATTGCTTTGCAGTTTCCTTATAGGTTTTGGGACAGTAAGATTCAAGGAGCTGACTTCTTTGGTCACATCCCTCCTGATTCTAGTAAACGTGGTCTTTTTGGGGTATTTTATGACATGGATCCACAGGTACCAACAGTATGTAGTGTGTGTCTTCATAATTCATGCTTCTTATAGGATGTTTTCGATGACTTTTTGCTGCTTTGTATTAATTGCAGGGTAAACATGCCGTCCTGATGTCCGTCATTACGGGAGATGCAGTGCTTACCATTAAGGATATGGATGATAAGCAAGTAGTGAAGCAGTGCATGGTAGTACTCCGAGAGCTGTTTAAAGAACAGGTGAATTATTAACAAGGGCTGAGTAGATGACTTGAAGTGCATTTCTGCAGTTAGATGTTACATTGTCGCTGTAAATTTTAGGTTTGACTGTGTAATACAAAATGTGCCTCATGTGAACCATTACCTTGTAAAACAACTTACTCAGTTTAAAATAGAAATGAAAGGCAAAACATTTGTCTAAAAGATATTAAAAAATATATAAATACCATTTTTCCTTTTTTTTTTTTTAAAGTGGTCACATAATCTCTGTTCTCAGCTGCCTAAGGGGCTTAAAGAGCTGGGGGTGGATTAACAGTAGTATGTTGATCTTCCCAGTGAGTGGTTGTGCAGTGCGTGTGTCAGCACAAGTTTTGGCCATTGGATGATAGGCAGGCTGTTCTGCCAGTACAGCCAGAAAACTGACCATGCTGAGATGGATTTGCTCTCATGACTAGCATAGTCAGTTTGAAATAGGAAAGCAAGGCAAGATCACCATGTATTTCACACAAAAAAAGCAATACAAGTACTTCAGATACATAACAGGTATTTGAAATTTTGGGGTAACTTATTCTTGAAGTATTGTAAGTGATTGTAAGCACAATTTTGTTTTTATTTTAAAATAATTTTTTTATATACTTATCTGCTCTATGCAGTGGTATTGCACATTACTGTCCCTTACCTCTTCTTCTGGAGTCCCCTGCCAGTGCTGTTCACTTCTTCTTTCCTTCGGGTGCCCCTTCAGTAAGCCTTGTGATGAGGGGGCAACCGTGCGGGTGCACTTCTGAGCTGGGCTGTGTGCATCCATAGACACACACAAAGCGGCACAGCCTCACCCGTGCTCCCTGCTCACAGGATTTGACTGACAATAGCAGCAGCCTATGGCTCCTGCTGCTGCTTGTGTCTCCTATTACAAGAGAAAGAGAGGAGAGCAGGGCTACAGATGGGACAGTGTTGAATCAGTGCAGGTCAGGTAAGTGTCTAGGGATGGGAGGAAAAAAACAGGTAGTGTGGTTCCTTTTATCTTAATGCATAGAATGCATTAGTCCTCATGCACACGGGACGTTTTGATAATGCTGGTAACGTTAGCTGTGTAAAGTCATGTTAAAAACTTGAGTTTTTCAGCTTTTTTAGCGTTCTTGCATTAGAGTATAGCTGGGTTTTTTTTTTACTGAAAATAAAATTATTTTTTGGGTCAAAAATAGGTCCAAAAACGCCGGTTTGCAGTGGTTTACTGCGTTTTACAAAGTTTTTCTGTGTTAGAGTGTTTTTACAGCTTAAAAACTCCTATAGAAGCCCACTAGTCCTGGGTTTTGTTTCCTGCCAAAAAACATTTATTACAGTCTATGTGTGCCTGGATATATAGGATAACATGCAGGGGGGTTTACTGGCTGTAGAAAAAAACGTCAAAAGCCAAAAAAAGCCGCTGTCCAGTGTGCATTAGGGATGCACCGATACCCTTTTTTGATTAACGATTCTTTCAGTCCTCGCCAATACCAATAGCAATACATTGCGGTGTGATTTGTGTCCATACAAAATGTATTGACGCAAATTGCACTGCAAAGAATAGCAGGTAATTTGAACAGGAATGCGATTCTTGTCCAAATTGTATGCTGTTTCCCCACTGCTCCTGTGTGAACCCAGGCTTGTTTGGTGCAGGGAGGTTTCCTGCACCGCTCCTGTGTGAACAGAAGCTAGAGTTCACACAGGAGCGGTGGACACAGGAGTGGTGCAGGAAACCTCCCTGCACCAAACCCATGCTATCATAGAAGAAAAAGCTGGGGATCTGAAATCCCCACGCTTTCTCTCCTCTCAGTGCAGGGATAACAGTATGGGATAGATGGCCTTTGATTGGTCAGCACCATCACAGTGCTGACCAATCAGAAGCCATCTAGCCCATACTGTCATCACTGTAAGCACAGGAGAGAAAGCCGCTTCACAGGTCTGGGGATTTGAAATCCCCGTGGCTTTCTCTCCTCTCCTGAGATTGCACCCGTCATCTGCTGACCTCAAGTGTAATGCTTTGCAGGCTTCTAATAAAACCTACCTGCAACACTACCTGTACATTTATTAATTTTTTTTTTTAAAGGTGAACATCTCTTTTAACACAATGTCTTTGGCCTTTTGGCATAATTGTGAATCAAGTTTTGTCATTTTGCATCTCTTCTTTGCTCTTTCCACTGGCTTAGTGAGTAAGCCAAATTGTTGTTTTTATCCATACAAGCTATGTTTACCCGTGCAGTGTTATTTTCATGATGCAGGAGGTACCGGTCCCAACAAAATACTTTGTTACACGATGGGCTAAAGACCCTTGGGCACAGATGGCATATAGTTATGTAAAGACTGGTGGAAGTGGAGAAGCTTATGACATAATAGCTGAAGATATCCAGGGGAAAATATTTTTTGCAGGCGAGGTAAGACTTAAAACTACTTGTACAATTTTTTTTTATTATATCCCAATGGCTGTCAGATCTGAGATTTGTTATTGGTTTAAAACACTGTACTAGAGATCTCTATTAGAAAAATCTTCATTCATTTCGCAAAAGGTAAGTTCCATGTTATTGAAGGCGAAGTTCACCCGTATTTAGGGTGGAACATGTAACATGTTCCAGCTCTTGTCTCTTCTCCCCCCAGTCCCCCCTCTCCCTGTGACAGCAGACAGGGGATCTTCTCCCCGCACCAGCTGTCACAATTTAAAAACAACACGGCTGTGCGGAGCTCCTCCCACACTGTCACATCACTCCCAATAAACTGCAGAAGTACCGGTAAGCTCTCTAGTAGTTCATTGATTCATCCTGCAATTCAGGCAGGGCAGGCAGTGGACTGAGGGTCTGCAGGAGCCTGACATCTGCTGATCAGAGTTAAAATGTTTTACAGGCACTAGTGTGAAAAAATAACATATGCACATTTTTACATAGAAACCACTGTTTCATTCATATTATATAATTATTACAAATACTTAAATATTTACAGTATATTACTGTACATTAGTTATGCAGGCCATACATGGTTCGAATTCTGAATGATTTTCCGACCAAAAATCAAAAACGTTGTTCGCTCAGTAATCCGATGGTGCCATCAATGATTTCAAAAATCATCCGACCAAGTCATAAAGTTCACCCCATATAACAGGTGAAACTTCTGTTCCTTCCAGGTCACGGCTCATGCGCATATTCTTTTCGGAAAAACGATCGTACGATTTGACCATCATTGAGTTGAAGATCGTCGTTTTTCACAAATTTTCCAACATGCCCGATCACTGAAAAGGGGAGGAACCACAAAAATCGGCCAGTGCCATTGACCCACCAACAGAGAGCGAAAATCAAACAATTATTCTTAGGTCTGATTTTTGGACGAAAAATCTGTTGAATTTTGACCCATGTATGGCCGGCCTTAGTTTTTACTTTAGCCTATAATAACTTCCTGTTACCCTCTGCACAGCATAGCACGAGAAGGAACAGTAGCATTCTAAGCAAACCAGACTGTATTCCATTGTGATGTCAAGCTAATATTGGGAACTAACTGGCAGGAAGATAGAGAAGAATGATGACCTCATTAGTGTGCCATAGTCCTTCATTGTCTAATCAGCAAGCTTGGGGGGGGGGGGGGCTGTCAAGTCATTTTGTTTTAACTGCAGTGGAGAAAAGAAAAGTCACTGATTGGCTGTGACAACTGGCAGGGATACCTTGAGTACAAAACTTCCAGTGAAACAGTTAACATCTATGTATTACAGCTACATATTTAATTTAACAGTATTTAAAAGTTATGATTGTTGTCTCCAAAAATGCATCTAGAGAGGTCTAGCCATCTACAGGAAGGGTTTGTATTATCTTCTCTTCTAGATTAATCTTTGATTTGTTACTGAATTGAAAAAGGTGTAAAGATATTTCCTATCTTGTTGTTCTTCTATTGTTGATGGTAAAGCGTACATTATCCCAAAAATGATTATCACTTCCTAAAGTTTTTTTCATTCTTTTAGCTCCTCTGTTTTGATTCTGGTGGTCCTGTTACAGGTCAGGTTATAAACATGGTGGAATATGGGCCCAGTCACTATTAGTGAAAAAAAACATTTCTGTTTTGTGACTGAATTGCATAGTGGTAAATTACTACAAGATCGCGATTAAAGTTGTATAGCCTTGTCTTTGTTGACTCACTTACCTTCAATATACTCAAGGTCATTTTAAACTGGTGAGGCTTCTTTGTGTAAATGTGTGTCAGAGTGGTCGAGGTATAACACCACTCAGTTCAGTGAGAGAAGGATAACTCCAAAGGGATTACCAAACTAGCGGCTTCTGCATGGGTGTGCTACATGTGTTTGTGAACTCGTACATAAGTCGGGGGAGAAGTCCTGCTATAACAAGTGCCCCTGGTTCACATGCTGCTGACGGCTCTGGGGCTGCTTGGCCATGGATCTGGCCAATGTTTGAAGCATGAAATCCTGTGGTCCTCTGCTTCTAGAGTGTATTCCGTTTCAAAGTTTTTCTTAGCACTATCGTGTATGGCCAGGTCCTCTGCCCTCTTGGTTGAGGTTTTTACTACAGTCATGCAAGCTTTTTTGGCCCAGATTGCCCTGTTATTTGCTGACTCTGACCGCAGTGGCAACAACTGCATTCCTGTGTGTTATCCCACAGATTTTGTACCTGCCATGAGCTGCGGAGGCTCAGTTTTTAGATGAGGGCTTGTCTCCAAGGAGTTGCAGTCCTTTGCCATTACTATCAAACTGAGTGAATCATCCTGTAGCTTCCACTAATGCTGTCTGCTGTCTTAGCAGATTCTAAAGGACCCAAGGCTGCAATCGCTTTCCCAGTGCACCCACTCTGCCAAGTCTTCCTCTACAGGGATTGGAAACACCTTGACAAGCACATTTTAGCTTTAAACTCATTCTAAGGGAACTTTGTTAACAACTGCCCCACTGTGGATCTGACAGCATCCCACCTTAACACTAACACTGCCCCACTTATCTATGTCTTTCCTTGGATATGAGAGGAATACTTGACTTGATGTGTGCCTCGGGGATTCTACCCTAGGAGTTTCTTTGTGGGTCAAATCCTCTCCTTCCTGATTCTGCCTGTGGATTAGTGTTTGGCTCTTAGTACTCTCAAGGAGAAGTTAATGCTTTTTCTATTTTGTTTCAGAGACTGTTGGCCTCTCACTCTTTAAATTACAACTTTCTTCAGGGATTCCCTTGTGTAGCTCCCCCGTTCATTAATCTGTGACTGTAGAATCTGAATCTGTTTTTTCTGTGCTTCACAAGCCACTGTTTGAACCCACCAGAGACATTCTTAGCTCTACTGTTACCCACAAGTTAATATCCCTTGTTGTCATCACCTCTGTGATACCTCTACTTGAACTGGTGGTTCTATCCTGCAAGGAACCTTTTCTGGTTTTGCATAGTGACACGGTATTGATGCCTAGGACTTCTTTCCTAAGGCAGGCCATAGATGATGCAAATTTCTTTCCTGCAACTAAGAAAGTTGCTCGATTTCCTCATCAACAGTGTTGATGAGGGAATCCTTCCCACAGAGTTATTGTGTTTTCCCAGTGGGGGGGTTCTCCCTGCCAGGAGAAAATCATGATTATTGATAGCAGCTATAGCCACTGGCACTAATCACATTTACAGATCCGTACAACAATCAACTTGGGTACAACCAGCCTGCCCAAAGACGGTTAGAATCTTGAGATTCGAACCATCTGTGGCCGGCTTTAACCAGTACATTGTTTTTGTGTCCTACTGACTGGCTGCAGTTCACCAAAAGGAAATTTCTCTCCATTGTCTGGATGTGGTTCAGGTTGTGAGAGCCAGTCTGTGACTTCTGCTTCACAACTACTGCTTCTTTCAGGAAGGCCGATTTACTTTTTATCATACTGGATGGACCCCAGAAGAATACTATGGCTTCTCAATCCACCATTTCTAGGTGGTTCAGGCAGGCCATCATCCAAGCTTTTGGTCTCAAGATCACCCTATCCAGTGAAGGCACACTGTACTAGACCTAGGAGTACTTGGGCTTTTTGGCCTCAAGCCACTGTTTCTCCAGACTTGCAAGGCTGCCACCTGGTCTTCTGTTTACTTGTTCTCTAGGTCCCACTTATTGAGGCCTCATCTGAAGTCAACTTCAGGCATAGTCTTTCAGGCCACACTTTCAGCTGCAGACAGTTCTGAGTTCTTTGTTGTTTTTAATAGGGTATGTTGGTGTTTGTTTGCAGTGTTTTCACTCCATGGTAGGACTACTTTTGAGGATGAAACTTCCTGTGTTCCTCATTGTGTGTATCATCATGCTTTTGGCCTTGTTTTGCTGTATAATGGAGGCATGCTGCTGGTAGTGGCGGTTATTCTGGGCTGGCCTACACTTTTTTTTTTGTTTGCCAGTGTCCAAGGCTCCTGTAAGCAGCAGTATAACATGCAGGTGAAGGACTTATCTGTACCTGGACCTGTATCCAGTAACGGACTCCAAGTTATTGAGTTTACACTAAGCACAAAATCTTATTTGCTCCCTTTTGGTCTGTTGAATATACCACTGAAAGCATTTTGGTATATCTGTTTGATATGTGTAAAAAATGCCTGTTAATCGTTGGAAATTCAGAGCTGTCATGTGCACACTTCCTGTGTTATTGCAAGGATTCTTTCCAATCCTTCTCATAGACTACAAAAAAAATTTCCCTTAGTTTGTCTGTATAAAAAGAGGGGGAGTGATTCAGTAGTTTAACAAAAAGCAACAGGGGCATGGCTGAAACCAATTCTTGTGATTTCAGTCCAGATAAGGAACTATGCTGTCAGTCCAGTTCTGGAAGTTAGTAGCTAAGTGCATTTCTGGCCAATCAGCAGGTGTTTGTGTATACTCGCAGGCTCTTTGCAAGAGATAAGTCATAGGAGACAGTGCATGCATTACAGACATGTACTGCATACTACTTTACCCAATGTACTGCACGCTATTTTACCTAATACACACACCTTTGCCTAAATGTGAATGGTGCAAAACAATAAAAGAGGTGCTGTGTGTTACATGTGGTTGAGGTTGTGTGGGCAGGTAAAGACACTAGTCTGAGCAACATACCAAATGTTGCAGAGGGAATTTGAGTTCTGGAATTCAGTGCGCACAGGGAAGGGATAAGTGTACAGCTAAATCGTCCATATAAAACTGGCTCTATGTACACCACAGGTGATGCAACAGCAGTGGTTGACTCTTCCTATACCCAGGGGGTGTGACTTTGCTGATCAGTGGGTTTTGAGTATTTAAAAAATATATATAAAGTGGGTATATAGGGTCAACAACATCAAATGTATGTAAATGTGTGAAAAGCACAAACATGTTTTGCATAAAAGAGTTTTTAGTCTAGCTTAGAATTTGGTTTATCTTTAAGCGTTCCTATCTTTACTAATTGTTTGGCTGCATCACAGAGCATTAAATAAAACAAGACATTTGAAGCTGACATCTTTGTGATTTGTTATAGGCTACAAATCGTCATTTTCCACAGACTGTGACCGGAGCTTATCTAAGTGGTGTGCGAGAGGCAAGCAAAATTACAGTTTTTTAAATTGGACTCACTTTCCCACTTTTCTATTTTTATATGTATTTTTGAAGAAACAACTCAAGCTGTGTTTTTCACAGCAAAGTTTGTTTACAATATTGTTTATTTTATTGTCCGTGTGCCTAAATCTCACATTATGGCTGAGCATTGACCACTAGACGATGCGAATGATTCAAGTGGCCCTGAAATCAGAAAACAACAGAGTTATATATGTTTTCTTTCATGTAAGAATATTGCTGAAAAAGATATTTAATGGACTTCTGTGTTATCGGTGTTCAAAAAAATTGGAGAGGAAAGCCGAGTACCCACAATAGAAGCCTAGTATTTTTTTTTTCCTGTCGAAAGTCTTAATTTATTATAATTAATATTGTTACAGGGTTTGTTTAAATTAAGTTTTATATACTGCACTTGTTAAGCAATCATTGCTTCATTTTCCCTTCGTTTGGTTATTGTAAGTTATTTTTTATAAGTTGAATACTATATACTTGGAACCTTTACGTTCAAAATGTATGTCACAAGGATAAGACAAGAACTTTGGTACCCACAGTATTTCACGGAGTTATTTAGAAAACTCTTTGGTGTTGTGACACCAGTGAAGTTGAAGCATGAAAAATAAAAATGTTGGATGGACATTGCATTACCAAATTAAAGAAACAATTTATGGTTTGTGTCTTCTTTGCTTTTAGAACTGAAATCTGACATTTGAAAAGTAATTTTGTTTGAGACATTGCAAAGCAGAATAATGAAGGAAACACACCAAAGACAAGGTTCACATAATTGTATTGTACAGTTGCTGTGTACACAGCCTGACAATGCAATTCTTCTTTTGAAAAGGATAGCTGCCTAGTTGCCATGAATAATCTCTAGTTTTTCTTTTCGGTCAGCAACTTAGAAAGTAATGAAGCCAAACATTTGGATCAACATATTGTTTTGGGGTAATCACTCAGAAAGTACCAGAGGATTAGCATACTAGTTTACAGGTTTCTATCATAATGAGCGTCAAGAAAACCAATCAGTATGGAAACATGTAGTCTATCCTCAGTCCTTCCTATGAGGAAGTCATGCATCACGTGATGAAACTCAGAGGTGGGGACTACGTGATGTCATCACGCTGGAAATCCAAGGTTAGACATCTTCCATGCCATTTTGGATTGATGTTTATCCTTAAGGGGGACAATGTATATTGAAATTAAAAAGGCAATTCTTCTTGTGCACTGGATTTAAAGTGCACTTATTTTGTGAGTAGTATTTATTCTTTCTGGGCTGATAAAGCGCAGAGTTTGTTGGTTTTACACCATGACAGGTTATGCGTTTCTATTTTCGGCTGACCAGGCTGGGTCCTGAGATATCAAGTTGACGATAGATCTGTGGTTTAAATATATATAAATGGTATAGTGCTAGATAGTTCCAATACACATAAATATATGTATATATGGAACCTAATCAATAAGTATAAATAATCTATACATAAAAATATACTCAAACAACACACAGACATACATAAACACACTCCCTTCATGCATCCCCAAATAAAAGGGGAGATAATACGTGACTTAATGGTTGTATAGTGGGTAAATACAGAATCATGCAAGTATAACACACTAAAATAGGTGATATTGGTGAATAATATACATATACAGTCCACTTCAAGCAAAAATGTGAACCCTTGAAAACCGTGAGAGTGCCACTGGTGTCACAATCCTATAATGGTCTGAGTGCCTCCTCACCTCCCCGCACTGACCACCAGGGCCAATACGCCTTGTTATATATAGGATGTATCCCTCAGGAGCCACCTGGTCTACAAGACCACACTGGATGCCACATCAGAACACTGTCATCCAAAGAACACCTCCAGCCACTGCTTTGTTTGTTTGATGTTGATTCCTTACCACCAGATCATGTTCAGAGACAAACAGAGATCTCCCATAGCGTAATACAGCAATGTTTATTGAAGAAATATATATTTAAAATGCCCACTCACATTTCCACAGACGATTTTTCACATAATACACATCCTCATGGTATCCTTATGGTGTCCTTATACTATAGGTGTATCTGGAGTCCCAATATGGCGCATACTTCCGACGTATGCGCCATATTGGGACTCCAGATACACCTATAGTATAAGGATACCATGAGGATGTGTATTATGTGAGAAATCATCTGTGGAAATGTGATGTGGCATCCAGTGTGGTCTTGTAGACCTGGTGGCTCCTGAGGGATACATCCTATATATAACAAGGCGTATTGGCCCTGGTGGTCAGTGCGGGGAGGTGAGGAGGCACTCAGACCATTATAGGATTGTGACACCAGTGGCACTCTCACGGTTTTCAAGGGTTCACATTTTTGCTTGAAGTGGACTGTATATGTATATTATTCACCAATATCACCTATTTTAGTGTGTTATACTTGCATGATTCTGTATTTACCCACTATACAACCCTTAAGTCACGTATTATCTCCCCTTTTATTTGGGGATGCATGAGGGGAGTGTATTTATGTATGTATGTCTGTGTGTTGTTTGAGTATATATTTATGTATAGATTATTTATACTTATTGATTAGGTTCCATTTATACATATATTTATATGTGTATTGGAACTATCTAGCACTACACCATTTATATATATTTTCTCTATTCATGTACTTTTTGGTAAAAATTAGGGTGTTGGCAGCTTGAGGTAGTATACCCATCTGAAGCACAGGAGGTTTTTACTATTTTTAGATCTGTGGTTTACCCTCCTGGTGAATTATGGAGTGTTCTGACCCAGGTTGCTGGGAAGCATGTCTTCACTCTACCTTATTGTGGGTGCATTTCTAAGTCTGGCCATGCTGTGCGTGAGAAATATCCTATTAAATTAATTCTAACGGCAGAAGGTTTTGTTTTTTTACCTTTATGCATTCTCATAAAAGGTAAAAAAAAAAAAAAACAAAAAAAAAAAAACCACTATGTCCAACTCCCCCCACCCCCGTTAACTTATAGGAGACTGATCTCTATCCACCGCTTTTCCCAAGAGCAGAGGCTCTCTCCGCTCTCTCACTGGACATTGAGGCAACAGCTAATGTCTCCCACTGCTGTCAATCACAGACTGTGAGGAGAAAGCAGGGGGTGAAGCCGAGCTACACTGTGCATCTGAATAGACATACACTGCTCAGCTTGCGAGCGAGCTAGCCTATTTGAGAGGGGAGGAGCCAGGAGCACCATTGGGGAGACCCCCCAGCAAAGGGAGATCAGGGCTGCTCTGTGCAGCATTTGCACAGAGCTGGTAAATATAACATGTTTGTTTAAAAAATCCTTTAGAATCATTTTAAATTTACACCTTTATGTAAAAAATTTTTTAAATTTAAATTTTTTTTTTTTTTCCATTTTCCAAAAATGTGTGGCAAAAAACCTGAATCTTCAAAAGACACACAATGCCTCTTTAAAAATGGCTTGGGTGTTTACGCTCAAAAATGTGGTCATTTTGTGGGTGTATATACTATCCCGGTGTTCACAGGCCCCCAAAAATATAACAGGTAGTCAGGGAAATGGATGTATAATTTAGGACCCCTAAAAGCCTGAAGATGCTCCTTAGAGTTTGGGTCCCTCAATACAGTTAGGCTCTGAAAAAATTCACATATGCAGTATCCCCATACTTAGAGTAGGAGAATGTTTTGGGAAGTAATTATTAGTATGCTCATGCTGGGTGTTGTTAATAACTTAATTTACAACTTTGTGAAAAAAAAAAAATATATACATTTTTATTTTCCTTTTCACATTTTCTAAACACTTGTGGCAAAAAAATGTGATCCTCAAAAAACTCACCATCGCATCAGGGACTCAAGAATTGCAATAATCAGGAAATCAGATGCAAACTTTATGTTCCTTGAAGGCCTGAAGGTGATCCTTGGATTTTGGGCCCCTCTATGCATCTACACAGCAACAAAAAGTTTCACATGTGTGAAATACCCATACTTGGAAGGCGTAGGGTAAAGCAGCCTTTGTTAACTGCTTACTCCCCAAAGAACCAATAAAATAACAGTTGGGTTCTGGGGAACTTTACTAAAACCAATTCATCAGGGGTTAGTGAACAAAATGCCCCATACAGTGGTGGTCAGTAGAAAGAATGCATCCCTTACATTGATGGTCAGAATACCTCAAAAGAGTTACTAATCTGAAAGGCAAAAATTGCTCTTTGCCCAAGGAACCCCTAGTATACTTTGAACATACCCTAGGGTTACACAGAACCCTTGTTGAGAAAGGATCGCAACCTTTGTACCCCAGAAAAAGCCCTAAAATAATTTTCATGTTGCAACTTACAGTGGTGGTCAGAATACAAGCTAAAAAAAAAAAAAGATTAGTGGTGTCTGGCCCAGCACCATCAGATGGGAGGTCAGCCTCAACTCAAAGAACCCCTAGCAACCTCTGGAGGAACTCTGGGATTCCACAGAAAACCTGGCTGAGAAAGGATGGTAAAAAAAAAAAAAAAAAAAAAAAAGGGTTACTAATCAGAGAGGCATACATTGCTCATGGTCCAAGCAACTTTTGAAACCCTAAATTATCTTCAAATAACCCTAAATAAGGACTGATCTGGAGCAGCTTTTGTACCCCAGAGGAACCTCTAAAATAATTTTCAGGTCTTAGAGAATCATTACTGAAACCAATCAATCAGGAATTGATGGGACAAATGTGCCTTACACTAGTGGTCATTAGGAAGAATGCAACCCTTACAGTGACAGAATACCAGCTTAAAAGATCATTGGTGATGGTCTTAGATCTATATAGGCATAATGAGAACTTAATCAGCCCCAGTTCAAGGAACCCCCAGCAACCTTTGGAGGAACCCTAGGATTCCACAGAATTGGCGGAGGAAGGATGATCTACAGAAGCCTTTCCCAACCTTTTCACCCCTACAGTACAGGAATTTAGTGTTGTGTACTCCTGAGATCCTAGTACACTTTATTACACCGAATGATAGCAAATAAGAGAAGTTAACTTTTAAGGTGTACATACACTTTAACCCCTT